TAGTTTGTTGAAATCACCCTGCAATCACATCATCTGGAGAGCGGCCAGCAGTAATCGGTATCGTGTCATCTGCAAAAAGATTTACCCTGGAATGATCCAGGTCAGTGCCCAAGTCATTCACATATAGAGAGAACAAGAGGGGGCCGAGGATGGAACCCTGTGGAACCCCTTGTGTTATCTTAACACTGTTTTACCTCCAACCATTTGTGAACACAGTTGGGGTGCGAGAAAAGAGTTAAATATTTTTTACCATTTTACTGCGTTTTCAGAAAAACCGAGGCAACTTAGTTTACCAAATAGGGTGTGTGGTCTACTGTATCAAAAGCTTTGGACAGGTCAAGAAAAAGACAGGCACAGTACTGCTTATTATCAAGGCTACTGTAAATGTGATTCAGAGAGTCTAATGCAGCAGATGTGGTGCTGTATTTTTTCTGGAACCCAGATTGTTTTAGATGTAGTAGATTGTTGGTGGACAGGAAACTGCTAATTTGGTAGTTCAATAATTTTTGAGATAGGTCGGTAGTTATCTGGATCATCTTTAGGGCCCCCTTTGTGAAGTGGACGGACATAGGAATGTTTCCATTCTAGAGGAACTGATGCTTCTTTGATGGACAGGTTCAAAATATAGGCTATAGGTTTGTATATTAGGTGACCAACAGTTAGTAGAGCAAAGACGGGAATACTATCTGCTCCGGTAGAGGAGGACCCTTTGAGGTAGGACAGTTGTTTCAGAACATTATTTTCGTGGATTGGCTGGAAACTAAATTCGTTTAATGTTTGGACAGGGGTGTAGGAATTTGCATGAGCAGGGGTGATGCCCAATACATAAAAAAGATTACCAGCTTCAGAAAAATTAAGGTTAAAATTGTCAACTATTTTCTTGGGATCTGAAAAATATTTCCCATTTCGGTTAAGTTCAACGGGCAGATTATCTGTTTTGGATGCCTTTTCGATCCTGGCATTTCCATGTGATTCCAGGTGAGTGGAGGAAAAGTAGGCATTTTTTGCATGCCTGATTTTTTGGACGCATCTATTCGTTAAAATCCTGTATTCTAGCCAGTCATTGACCAAATTACTTTTGTGAGCACATGCCCAAGCCTTGTTCCTAGTTTTCATGAGCTTTGTAATCAAAGGCTAAACCATGGTGGGCGGTTGCCTTTAGTTTTAAATCTAACCAACGGAGCATGTTTGTTAAGAATTTGGAGATACGTGTACCTGAAGGTCTCCCAAGCCGTAATCAGGTTGGGGATATCACAGACCTTGTCAATATCTGAGTGAAGCACATCATTAGTAAATGCCTGAGTGCAGAAGTGTCTCATAGAGTGCTTCTCAACCAATTTAAGGGGGGCTTTGGGTCTGGATGATGATCTCACCCCAAAAATTAAGGAGTGATCACGTAGGTTATTACCCAGGACACCAATCAGTGCGAAATTGTGAGGGGCATTTGTCAATAGGACGTCAAGCAGAGATGACTGTCCCGGATGTTTTAGGTTGGGTCTTGTGGGAACATTTATTAATTGAAACAGGTTAAATTCATCTGCAGAGTTTATGGCCACGGCCGGCGGGTTTAGCCAATTCCAATTTAGATCACCCACTAAAACTATTTCACCTTTAGGGAGGCCCCCAAAAAGCTCTCTCAGTGCAGATGCAGCTTCAACATCCTTCCCATTAGGCGGTCTATAGCAGCACACTACCAATATCTGTTGATTATTTGGGAGAGTTATTCTGAGAGCCAAACCTTCAAAGCAACACTTTTTAAGCAAGGAGTGAGCTGGTGAACATGCAATAGTGTTACGAACATAGATGGCAATTCCACCTCCTTTAGATCCTCGGTCAAGCCCAAAAAGGTTGTAGTTGTCAATCGTAATCTGCAAATCATTGACGTCAGGAGTGAGAAATGTTTCTGTTAGGCAAAAAATGTCTCGGTCAAGATTTGCCACTTCTAGTTTTAGTTGACTTAATTTAATCACAAGCCCTCTGATGTTGACATGTAGAACACCCAACACCTTTTCTGCCAGAAAAATCTACAGAATTATACGAGTTCTTTACATTTGGGCCAGGATGAAACTCAATACCACCCAGAAATAAGAAAAGTAGAATTAATAGTTTGCACAAGTATTTTCTGTGAAAGGATGAAGAGCGGCGAACCTTTGACGAATAGCAGCAGCTCGCAAATGGTGTTATTTTTAAGAGCAGAATGAAGTTTGGAAGAAGTGCTGGTGAAGTAATGGGACAAAGATGGGGTTTAAAAGGATACAATAATGATGGAGTGTAGAAGTGTCTATAAGCTGTTTAATTTGCAGGTGTAGTGGCAAATCGAGCAACAAGTATGGATGCAAAGTAACGAGGGTAGCCGTTTGTAGAGTTGAGTGTGGCACTAGATATGGCCAGGAGGGACAGCAGTAGGATACAAAGCAGGGGAATTGCCATCTTTAAAATATCCGAGGTACACACAGATTAACACACAAGCGGAAAAGAAAAAATAGATATACTTGTAGGCCGAGCGCGAGAAAACGTCTTGCCGCACTCGTCACATATGCACGGCTTCTCGCCCATGTACTAGGGTTGAACAGCACCCCCCCCCCCCCCCAGATAGGGACAGCAGATTCTTGGCTACTGCGGGTTCGGCTGTACCGCTTTCCCTGCCGCAGGATGGTGCTCGAGCTAGCCCTCCTTGAGCTCAGCCCACTACTGGAATGTCGTTTCTTGGCCTCTCGTGTCTCTGCTGCCCGACCAAACGGCCCCACTGAAGCCCACACATGGGACTCTTCATTCATGACCCTTGGCCGTCTTGACGATCTCCGTGAAGTTTTCCAGGATGGAGCGCACGTCTTCCTTGAGCCGCTTGTTAAACGACTGCAGCAGCGCCTCCTTGCTCTGGGGCAGCGCCTGCGACATCTCGGGGCAGCCGCAGTGGAGAGAGCGCGACTCTCTCTCAGGGCAGCAGTGGACGGAGCACGGCTCTCCCTCAGGGCAGCAGTGAACGGAGCACAACTTTGTCTGAGGGGAACAGTGGAGAGAGCACGGCTCTCCCTCAGGCCAGCAGCGGAGAAAGCGCGGTTCTGCCTCCGGGCAGCAGTGGAGAGAGCGCGGCTCTCCCTCAGGGCAGCAGCGGATAGAGCACGGCTTTGCCTCAGGGCAGCAGTGGACAGAGCACGGCTTTGCCTCAGGGCAGTAGTGGACAGAGCACGGCTTTGCCTCAGGGCAGCAGTGTATAGAGTGCGTCTCTCCCTCAGGGCAGCAGTGGACGGAGCACGCACTAAGCCGCTACAATAACTGGAAGCCTACGGTCTTACCTAGTTTTTCCCACCGGGTAAAGCTCACCTTACCCGGTAAGCACAGTAAAACCTTGGATTGCAAGTAACTTGGTCTGCGAGTGTTTTGCAAAACGAGCAAACATTTTAAATAAATATTAATTTGATCAACGAGCGAGGTCTTGCAATACGAGTAGTACGTATATGCTTTGTCTGCCGAGCGTCACGTGATCACAACTGATATACGAGTGCTTTGATATACGAGTGCTTTGGATTACAAACACGTTTCCGGAACGAATTATGCTAGCAATCCAAGGTTTTACTGTATAGGATGAAATTACCAGTGGGCGGAATTGTCGCTGCAAAGCAGTTGAAGTATTAAATATATAACAACTTATTTGTATATAGAGGATTGCATGGAGACAGTAGAGCATTGTTTACAAATATGGAACACTGGACCAAGCACTTTGAAACACTGAGTTTTACAAGACATGGGTCAGTGCCTGTGTGACTTGAAGTTACAACAGTCACACCTTATACGTCTCTGTGTCTGAAAGTGGGGAGTGCACCAAATAAAGGATTGAAGAATGTTGTATTAGCCTGGTAGATGCCTTAACTAGGTACCCAGCTATATCTAAATTTAAAGCCGGATACAGTGGTACCCCGGAGATCGAACTTAATTCGTTCCAGAAAGCCATTCGAACACCGATTTGTTCGAACACCGAATTAATTTTGCCCATAAGAATTCATGTAAATTACATTAATTGGTTGCAGACACAAGACATCTCTCATTATAAAGCATTTTTACACGAAGTTTACAGTAATTACATGCATAAAATTATACAAAAAACCAAGAAACAATAAATGGAATAAATGAAGAAATATATGGAATAAATGAAATAAATTAACATTGAACTTCACTTTACCTGTAGTAAGGAGAGTTGATGGCTTGAGTGGAAGGTGGTGAGGAGGAGGTGGTGGTGTTATTGTTTGGAAGGGGAGTTCCCTTCCATAATAACGTTGGGTAACTGCACTGGGTGAGAGCTACGTGTTAACTGAGCCTCTCATACGGTAAAACCTTTGTCTGGGCAAGCATCATGCACGCTGGCCATACGCATCTCAGCCGTACAGGTTCTTTCAAGTCGCGATTGCCCGTTCGACCTCCGAACTTCGTTCAGTTTCCGGGGCAAGAAATGTTCGGAAATATCGTTCGAACACCAATTTGTTCGAGTTCTGGTGCGTTCGATCTCCGAGGTTCTCCTGTAAAGTTTGTTTCCTATAATGAGTATCTTGGAAATTGGCCAGTGGTATAAAACGTGTTACGAGTCAACAAAAAGGGAAGCGTTGTTAAACCCATAAATACAACGAAATTTGCGTATCATTTACATGTGTAGTGACATAAAAATAAAGTAACATGAAAATAATCTGTTTTATTTTCATTGAACTTTGAGTCCTCATGCTGGCTTGCTTGTCAGAAGGGGCATTGTACATTATGCTGGAACTCATTACATCTAGCAGAGGATCGCTCCACCATACAAAATAGTTCCACGATTCGGTTCATAAGTACGGCCGAACGTTCGCAAGTCGGATGGTTAAAAATCATAATTATAATATCTTATGGCAGTTCGTTCAAAAGTGTGGATGTTTGTAAGTCGGACGTTGGTATCTCGGGGACTGCCTGCATATTTCTACAATTGGTTCTTGTAAATAATATGCTGCATGTTTTGCTAATGGTCTCTTCTTCAGGCCTGCTGCAGGTGGTAAAGCAGCACACACAGCTGCCTGTGTTTATGATGATTCGCCCACGCGGAGGAGACTTCCTGTACTCTGAGCACGAGGTGGAGGTGATGCGTGCGGATATCCAGCAGGCTTGTATTGGAGGAGCTGACGGGATAGTATTTGGAGCCCTCACTGAATTGGGCACCATTCATCACGATATCTGCAGTGAGCTACTCTGTGAGTATCGATAAAGTGCCTGCTGTATATGTAGTGAGTCCAACTGAGTCGCAGACGTTCCTTTTAGAGGTAACACATATTTGTAACACGTAACACAAAGGGGTAACTGCCCCTTCATCAGATACAGCCTAGGGTGGTGGTCACCCAGCTAACTACCCTATACAGAGGAGTTACTGCTACGAAGGGTCGGGCCCTCACTCGGGTCCGCGACCACGTGTTGATGCCTCATAGGACGTAGAGCTTCCAGCTTGAGACGTAGAGCTTCCAGCTTCTCGAATGCCGCGACCCCGGTCCCTCTCAGGGACCTGCCTTATATCCCCCCACGGGTCGGGACCGCTCTGCCCCTGGCCCCGCCCGCCTTCTGGAGCCTTCTAGCTCCCCCTCGATCCCTCTCGAGAGCTCTCCCCGGACACGTGATCACCCCCTAGTCCCCCCACCTGGGGACCTCTCTGTGGATACTCTAGATCACGTGTCTGCAGGGTCAACCAGAGTGTCATGGCCCGAGGCAACCTTGTCCTTGGGCTGACACTCTCCCGCTCCCCCTCGTGGGAGACTGCACTGCACACTATGCATCGTGCCTGCGCTATCCCAGCGCTCACCAAGCCCCGCTAGGACTGGTACTACACCCACCACGGGGTGTACACGATGCCAATGCATCGCACGCCATGGCCCTTTCGGGCCGGCACCATACAGTGACATCCCCGATGTCACTACATATCTATAAATATGGTCAACATCCAGACAAGGGGATTTAATGCTGAACCACTCTGATGAGTGAGTCACAGCTTTTTAGTTTTAACCTAGAACTTGTGTGATCCATTCATGGTGATCTATACCCTGGACATTTTGAATAATCAAAATAAGAATATTTATTTAAGACTGCAGGAGGAACCCGATGAGCTATGTGCAGTAGGGGCACGGGGTCAGCAAGTTACAACAACAAATAATACAAAAATAATAAGAGTGCAAAGTAGAAAAAAGGTGTGGACCAATCAGTTTCAAGGACAATGCATATATTATCATAGTATGTTTTTTGTTTGCATTTTGACTGCAGGTATAGTGGTTAATGCAGACATGAATCCTTGTAAAAAGGTTTCAGTTTTGTTGCCAAAAAAAGGGGAAAAACCCTATTATGTACAAACTGATCGTTAACTGTGTAGTGTATTCAACTGAGTCGCAGACGTACTCTTTGGAGGCAACACATTTATTGACACCAACACAAAGAGGTAACTGCCCCTTTACCAGATAACAACCTATGGTGGTGGACCACCAGGCTAACTACATTAATCACACTGGGAGTCGCTACAATGGACAGGACCCCAGCTTGGGTCCAGGTCCACATGTTGGTGACTCTTCTCCGACGTAGAACGTAGATCGTAGATCTTCAGGATAACAGCAACGATGAACCCCGGTTCCTCTGGGGACCCGGTTTATATCCTCACGGGTCGTGACTGGCCCTGCACTTGGCCACGACCACCTTCTCGAATCCTCTAGCAGTATCTCGCCCGACACGTGACCACCCCTAGCCCCCCACTTGGGGCCCCTGTGTCGATCTTACCCGTCACGTGCCTTCCAGGGTCAACCAGTGTGTCATGGCCTACATTAACCCTATTCATGGCCGGCACCCTCACACCCCCTCCTATAGGGGACAGCACTGCACGCCGAGCGTGGTGCCACTCAGCGCTCTCTATCGGCACTCAACGAGCCCCTTTAGGGATGGTACTACACCCACATGTATGGGGTGTCCGCGATGGCAATACATCGCACGCCATGCGTCTCTCGGGCCGGCACCAAATAGTGACATCCGTGATGTCACTACAATTGTATGAATAATAAATAATGTAATTGATAAATATATACAATTTTGGTATGTTTCATTATAGTTTAACACGTAGGTTTTCGTGACCAATATCCATAGCAGAGGGGGGTTTTTGGGTTAGATCACGTATAAATGTGTTGTTAAACCGGCCACCATCCGACACAGACAATTAGTAAGGTTTGTCAAGTAGACAAAACGTGCCAATTCGTGACTAGTTCAGCACACCGGTGTGTTGGAGAGTAAACCCACAACATTTACAATTCGAGTGACATTTTATCGGTAATTACAACTTGCATCAATATAATTCATGTTATAGCTAAACGACATGTTGAGCATTGTTTCTGTGCTAACACTCCTTGCTTATATTTCAGCTCGTTCACGACCCCTCCCTGCAACGTTTCACAGAGGTGAGAAATATAAACATGCTGTAAGCATTCCGCCGCAGTTATTTGTTAATAACAAAAAAGATAAGCGGACAATATATATCCTTCACATATTCACCCCTCCACGTGAAAATGAAGTATTGTTTACACTTACCGTTAACCACAGGGTCTGGGAGTGCATCATTTTAGCAGCATTGAATCGATACAATTATAGTGGATTCAACTGCACTGATTTTGACATGTAGTGTCTCAGCCATGGTCAGGCTTGCTTGAACCAAATGCTCTAAACACATGTTTCTAAATGTGGAGGGAAAAACCGAAGGACCCAGAGAAAAATCCATGCAACCACAGGGAGAACATGCAAACTCCAAATATCCAGGCGTTCAGGGTCGAACTCATGACCTCCTGTATACAAGGCGAAGTAGTTAATATCTTGCCACTGCATACTCGCCTTGAGTAGGCAAGTGACAGCTACAATCACTGGGAGAGGAATGTCCGTTAATGCGTATCAGCTTGTAACCAACACACCATCACATTTGTTATAGTCACCGTTTACTGTGCTTTCCCATTGTGGATCTTGTGACCCCGATGTTCTCAGCATTTGATATGCTCCTGGACCCCATGCAAGCTCTCGAAGAACTTATTTCTCTTGGCTTCAAACGCCTTCTGACGAGCGGATGTGAAAACACCGCACTCGAGGGGCTACCGCTCATAAAGAAACTTGTCCAACAGGTACCTCTTATAGTGCTGCCTCCTATAATAACGCCGTTTTGTTATAACGCTCTTTGTCCCAGAAAATTCCTGCGTGGATCAGCCCATATATGGAAGAAAGTAGGCGTGGTGTTGATTGTAGGGGTGTGTCTCTGCTTGCCGGGGTGTGTCTCTGCCCATATCTGGTCTTGTGGAACCTGAATCGAGGTGTCTGTTGTATTGATTCTGCTCATAGTCAATCCAACAGCCATGTTAGAGTGTCGATTCATCGAGGGTTAATCACTGCATCGCTTCAGTGGCGATCCGTGGATCGAGTAATCTCATTGGTTCGTACTGTACAGCTTTCCACGGAACGTGTTTACGGCAAACTGGTTAATCTTCCACAAGCTCCTACTGAATGCACTTTTGACTACATACGTTATTGTAGTTTCTATGTCGTTATCATTAAAAGTTATTATTTATAAAATGCTTAAATACGTATATCATGTGTACAATACCATTATTAAGGCTATTACTGATACCCCAATGAAGCCCTCAGATATTGCTCATAAGTAAAAAATAGCGCTGTCAGTACACATCTCCATTGGAACCACGTTAGAGTAACCTATCGCGCTATTTAGTATAGCGCTGTCGGTACGCATGTCCATTGGAACCATGTTATTGTGACTTCCTATAGCGCTGTTTCTCTCTTGTTCTTCCATCATAGTTGATGATGGCCATGGCACGTTTGTAATTTTGTTGGGTTTTGATGAGTGCGCAGATGGCTGAACAGTCCAATCCGAGCCGGGAATTCTCTGTGGCACACTGGACAGGTCAGGGAGGATGTAGAGCTCTGAGGTGCAGCCACAAGTCCTTGGTAGATTTGCGCTGCTGCCTCTTCAAGATAGCACAGGAGCTTCTGCTCTCACAGAGGACTGCACCATCCTGTACTTTTCTTCTCCAGGCAGGTCGGTCCTGAGCTAGGGGTTCCCAACTTTTCAGGTCAAATCCAAAGCTCTTCAAGGAAGCTTTCAGGGTGTCCTTGTAGCGCTTTTTGGGGCCACCTTGCGCTCGCTTGCCATTCTTCAGCTCGCCAAAGAAGACTTGTTTTGGCAGTCTCGCGCAGGGCATTCTGGTCACGTAGCCAGTCCATCTAAGCTGTTCTTTCGCAAGCAAGGTGTGGATTCTGGGGATATTGGCCTTGCTGAGGACTTCAGTGTCAGGGAATGTCCTGCCACTTGATCCTCAGCAGTTTCCTCAGACAGCTATGGTGGAGATGGTTCAATTTCTTGGCATGGCGCTGGTAGATTGTCCAGGCTTCGCACCCATACAGAAGAGTTGGTAAGACAACAGCCTGGTAGACCTTCAGTTTTGTCTCCTCCTTGATGCCAGTCCTTTCCCATACCGAGTCACGTAGACGTCTAAAGGCTGCACTGGCCTTGACAATCCTGATGTTAACTTCATCATCTATGTGCACAGCGCGAGGCAGAGTGCTACCAAGGTACGTAAACTTGTCAACGGCTGAAAGCTTTTGCCCATTCACAAAGATGGTGGGCTCAGTGTGAGGAAAAGTGGTCCATACTGTCCTGTAGATCTTTATTTGAGCCAGCAGCCAGAGCACAGTCATCAGCAAACAAAAGTTCTCAAACAGTGACTTCCTCCACTCTGGTTTTGGCTTGCATCTTCCGCAGATTGAATAGCCCATCATCAGTATAGTGCTGTCAGTACACATCTCCATTGGAATCATGTTAGAGTAACCTATTGCGCTGTTTAGTATAGCGCTGTCGGTACCCATGTCTATTGGGACCATGTTATAGTGACTTCCTATAGCGCTGTTTAGTATAGTGCTCTATTTACTAAGAACGCATCCTGTGTGCTATAAGAGGTATGCCCGTATATCAATGGGTTATATCTTTATCCAAACTTAGGCAGTGCCGGATGAAGCTAGTGTGGGGCCTGTAGCATATGTTATAAAGGGGCCCTAAAAAAAAAAAAATTACTTGCATAGTAAAGTAATTGTATTTTTTAATTTGCTATACAGCCAGATAATATGACAAATCGCTAACCTTAAACTCCCAGTCGTTCATAAATGTTGAAGGCAGTATAGTACTATAGTAATAGAGCAAGTGCAGAATCAGTGAACCGGAATTGATAGCTTGAAAGCATTTAACACAGTCCCTTTAAAGTGCGAGGCCCTTAGCATATGTTACTTTTGCTGCTAGGATAATCTGGCACTGGACTCAGGACAACATATCCTGGCAGAGACCAGCCCTTTCTTCTTATAGCTGTGTAGTGGGTTCCAGGACATGGAGACGGCAGAGTAGAAGCAGCACTATTTATTTAAACCTTAACAAGGGTTACACTAGAAGGGGTAGCGGCCCCTTTACCCGTATAACTCAGGAACACACCCCAGGCTCTCTAGCCTAAGCTCTAGGCTCCCAGTTCCTCCTGGTAGGGCTCTAAGGGAGGCTATCAGATCTGGCCCTGGTTAGGCACAGATCTCGGCACCCCGCCGACCAGACCGGCCCTTAGAAGGACTCTGACTCTGGGGCTCTGGGGCCGCACCACTGGCTTGCTGTGCCGGCCCTGAAAAGGGCAGCGGTCACTGGAGTTCCAGGGTCTCACCTAGCTGGCCTTCTTTCTTCACTGGTTGCTTCAGCCTCGGGCCCAACACTCTGCCCCAAGCTCCATGGCTCCCCGCACTTTATACCCACAGGGGGTGGAGTCTTAGCGGACGTTGTTGTAGCCACCAAGGTGTGGGTGAACCACACCTTCCCGTGCCATGTGTTTATTCCCCATAGCACCCCAACAGCTGCTTGGGGAGGCCTACATCTAAGGCTGTTGATGATGTTGGTATTATGCTTTTAATTGGACTAGTGCGACCCTGCGTTGAGGGGGTAAGGGTGAGGTTTTGGTGAAGGATTTCACCGAGCTATGTCATATTTAGAAATAACGTCTTTGGTCTTACTCGACACATTAGTTTAATGATTATGACGAGTTATACATCATTATTAACGGTCCCATCGTCAGTTAACCCATGGCCATCATCTGGAGTATGGTATCATCACCTCCAGTGGCCCATTTATCATGACTGCAAACGTCAATACAACCAACTTGATCATTATCGCTATCCACATAATAATGAATCCCATATTTTGTACTAGCCTCATCATCATCATTAGAGCCATTGTCGTAATGTGCGACCTATCATTCTCATGGACAGGGCGATGTCAGACTTGAGTGGCTCAGCTATAGCTCAAGGGCTCTGCTCCAAAGCCAAGGCTGAGCTACACCGCTACGATTAATCCGGCCTTAATCTCTGTAAACTAATCTTTTCTTAACTACCCATATACTCTTAACTGGTGAGGTAAAGCATGACTGTTGCAATAGCAAAGTATTAATCACCTCAATAATGTGCATGACCATCAAACATAAAATCAAGTTATTTTGTCATCGCGAATTGTACGAAATCTTGACTTAAAGCTTTCGTGACTGCAGGAATTCATATTCTTTGGGTCTTTTGGTAAAGTCACGTCGATAGGTTGAAAGAAAATAACAAAAAACTACGACGTTTCGATCACAACACAAGCGATCGTCATGAGGAGTAAAAAAGTAAAGCTAACTGTTTTATAGGTTTAGAATGGGTGTCGCCCAACTTCCAAGACGGCGTGTAGGTGGCTATGTTAAAGTGAGAGATTAGCATGTTTGTGTAAGATCGCAGAGCCGCTGCCGCGTCAGCGCGCGAGGTGGCTAACACATAGCCACATTAACATAGCCACCTACGTGCTGACTTGGACGTCGTCCTCCGATCTTACATTAACATGCTAATCTCTAACATCACTAGCCCTGCCCACTTTGTTTATGACCCTTGGGCTACACCCATTCTAAACCTTTAAAACAGTCTGCCTCAGCAGCTTTACTGTTTTTTTCCTCCTGATGACGATCACTTGTGTTGTGATCGAAACATCGTAGTTTTTTTGTTATTTTCTTTCAACCTATCTACATGACTTTACCGAAAGACCCAAAGAAAATGAGAATTTGTATGATTACTCCCACAGACATGGTTGAATACATCGCATACTAGACATTTGTTAAAAAGAGCTTCATAGGTCATCGGATTCCTCCAAGATTAACTAAGATTCTGATTCTGATACTAATAATAATTTGTAAAATGCAGAAGTCACAACAGGTTTTTTTGGTGAAAATGTGTAGTAAATGAAATGTCTAAACGTGACTGCTGAATTGTGTCATGTTTCTGTAGGCAAACAGACGACTAATTGTGGTGCCAGGTAAGCACAGAACTGCATTTCATGACAGACTGGATGGTAAGGGCTTATGGGGGGGAGAGGTGGCCCACCTAACACTCCAGCACATATAATGTAAAACACGTGTGTTGCTTAGCGTTGTCAAGTGGGGGGGGGGGGGGGGGGGGGGTGAAGACTTGGAAAGTGCCGTTGCGATTCTAGCGTTTCTCTCCAGGCATTCGTCCAAGTGACAGATTTTGCAGTTACATTGGCCTTCAGCTACGAGAGTGATGAGCAGCTCAATAGAAACACCATCATGAGCATTAGACCAACGTGGCACGTACACATTTTATTGGATACTGTACTTCATTTTTGTCAGCACAATTTGTCCACAACTCAAATTACAGAATAAATGGCCACAGATAATCTACAGCTATAGAATGGTTTTATAAATACCTAGTACTAAGTTATATTTACAAAAATGCTTCCCCAGAATAAATCTTAGTCTGTTCGTGGACCTTAACCCAAATTTGTCTTTTTTATGAATGTATCTGCTGTATATTGGAAGAAAAAAAAAGTCAGTGTTAAAAGTTAAAGGTCATTTTTAAAATTACCAAATGTGTTCAATGCAAGATAAATTCAATAAGTCACTGGGCAAGGTGTCGGCTCCAGTAAAATCGGGCAACAAGTTGGACGCCCGTTTCATTCCTTTTTAACTCCCAGATATCGATAGTTCAAAGTTGATGTGAAATTGCATTGAGGGACTATGACTGTGTGTTGTCTTGGTGTGGTCTGAGACAGTTTTTGTTTTTTTTTGCCTTTCCCATGTAGTGTTGACAAAGCATAAATTTTAGTGCTTATGAAATTTGTACTCATACTTTATTTTTAAAATATATTTATGTTTAGTGACTTGCTTACCTTTTCTCTATTTTGCACTGTTATCGTGTTTTGTATTGTTGGTTGTTGTAACTTGCTGACCCATCCCTACTGCACATCTGCAAAAAAGAGCTTCTTAGCTCATCGGATTCCTCCTCCAGTCTAAATAAAGATTCTGATTCTGATATTGGCAATGAGTCTGATCCGTTCAACTCACGATTCCTTTCACAAGTATTCACTGTTATCCATAACACCGCCACTTAGTGATGACACCACCACGGCGCTTGTGCCATGCTAGGTGCACCTTGGGGCCATATGCAGTGTCAAAGGCCCGCTGGCAGGAGGTCACGGAACAGACCCAGGTCCCATGGGTGAAATGACTTGCTCATATCCATACGGCCACTCAAACGTGATGCTAGAGGGGGTGCACTGGGTATCAGTTTGCTGTGAACCCGGTCACCGGAATTTGATTTCCAGCAGGGTTCACAGTGGCAAGTGCCATCCAAACCAGAATCTTAAAAAAACATATTGGCAACTGTACAGGATTAACTCGTAACATCCTGTTCTTGCTTATGACAATCTGTTTAGGAGCTAAATGCCAATGTTGACGTTTGCTAGCCACGAGAGGGCTTCAGGAGAGTTCATACAGTTTTGATGTTCCTCCTCCATTAAAGGAACGCAGACTACAGTGGCTCACAATATGGTCCATAATTTAGAGCAGTGTTCTTCATTGCAAGGCCTGTGGACCACTGGTATCCCCTGGTGGCCTTTAGAGCGACCCTGACGTGCGGCCCCTGACAATACACAAATGTGAAAATATCCCATCATGCTGTCAAACCTAAATGGTTTTTGGCGAAAGTGGCTCACCTCTGAAAATTAGCGAAGAACACTGGTTTAGACCAGAGAACACGTGAATAGACTCATAATGGCTTTGTGACTGAAGTGCTTGCGAATAATCTGCATGATGCTGGGTTTCTGGTGACTGTAGGAGGAGGGATTACTGAGCGCAACCTACAGAGGATTTTGGAGGGTTCTGGAGCGACGGAGTTTCACTGCTCGGCGAGATCAACCCGAAGCTCAGGGATGGAGCACAGGTTAGAACATGCTTGTGTACGCATGTGGTATGTGTAGTACGTGTGGGGAGCAGTAGTGTAGTGGTTCGTATGCTGCACTACGAACCCGGCAACTCAAGTAAAATTCCCGCTCATGGCCAGCACTAGTAACGATTATCTGAACCGGTTTTGGGCCTCTCCTAGGTTTACTCAGCATCAATGAGTCCCTGGTGCAGTGTGTAAACATCGTCACTAAGGAGAGAAAGTTGTCCAGGCATGGTGCTACCACCCATCCCATCGTGTGCCTTACCAGCCTTCATAGGTGCTACATGTGTAGAATAGAACTTCTGGACACCCCGGGTATTGTAGAATCACACGGAGACCAGATTCTTACTCAGGGAGAATCACACGGAGACCAGATTCTTACTCAGGGCTGCTCGCCATTTATTCACTCCTCTTCCTCCACTCCACTCGCACTCCTTCTCTCTATCTCTCTACACACTTCCACCTGTGGCGGGCACTCACTAGCCCCCGTCCCTTTCTCCTTCCTCGCTCTGTTTCAAAGAACAAATTTGACCTCAGGTCTTCGCTCATTTACCAGCTTCACATTCCCTATTGCCGTACAAAATCTAGAGGAAGGGCCTTTGCTATTGATGCCCCCAGGGTCTGGAATGCTATTGCCAACAAACTGCAACTTGAATCACTACCTATGAGATCTTCACTCAAAACTGCTCTAGAGGAGTTGTACACCCCTAGCTGCCACTGCTATTCAGTGGTCTAAAATAAAATGTTTCGCTCCGGATGACCGCTGCAAAGTATTATCTGTATTTTGATTTAGTGTGCTGATCTTAAAGGTGCATTGAAACATTTGATACTCTGGCTGATGCTCCTGTTGTTGTGGAGTGACTCATGCAGCCAGCTATGGCTCTAGGGTTTGGTGTTACATGTTATTTATCTAGTTTATTGTTAAAAATTCGGTCACAGTCCCTATGATTACTGTTACATTGCATTTATGGCTTTGTTTTGGTGATTTCGAAAAGTTTTTTGCTTTGGCCATGTTTGTTTGTTGTAGTACGGAGTTAGACTGATGGCCTTAATCTATGTTGTCTTGTAGTTGTTGTTGTTGTTGTTTGACTTGCATCCCACTGGAATTTTTGCACACAGCATTGGTGTACGGTGCTTTTACAGGAATATTTTGCTGTTTTTTCGTGGATTTTCTGTTGCACAGTCACATAGTCACTTTAAGATGTTTTCTTGTTCATGTTTTTGTTTTCTGTTTGTTGCGGTTGCACCCGATTCAAGAGCCGAATGGCTCAGACCTTCCCTGTGGAAGAGAGATGTGGATGACACTTTCGTCATTTGGCCACATGGCCTCCCAGCTCTGAACCTTTTCCTACACCACATCAATTCCAGACATCCCGCCATCAAATTCACCATGGAAGTGGAGAAAGATGGCAAGCTACCATTCTTAGATGTTCTGTTTGAGAGGAGACCTGATGGCTCATTGGGGCATTCTGTCTACAGGAAACCCACCCACACAGATTCCTACTTGAAACCTGATTCCCACCACCACCCAGCCCAAAAGAATTCTCTCATCAAAACTTTATACCATAGGGCTCATTGCATTTCGGACCAACACCACCTGACCAGTGAATTAAAACATGTACACCTGGCCCTCAAAAGGAATGGATACTCTGACCGTACCATCCGCCAAGCTGTTTCTCCCTCCATACAGAAACAACCACTTGATACTCCGGTCAAAACCATCACACTACCATATATAGCAGGCGTTACTAAAAAGATTTCCAAAATTCTAAACAAACACAAGCTCCAGGTCCGGTTCAATAGAGTACACAAAATTCGTGATCTGATCCCATCCGTGAAGGATGTCATTCCTGACTTACAGTACCCCGGGGTTTACAAATTGAGTTGTACCTGCGGTGATTGCTATATCGGGGAGACGAAGCGACATGTCTCTGACCGAATTCACGAGCACAAATCAGATTTGAAACACGGCAAAACGAATGCTTCTGCCGTAGCTGATCATTGTTACAACGCTGTGGGTGATCACCATATAATTTTCTCCGATACCAAGGTTCTTTGCAAACCCACAGGTTTTTATCAGAGATTTGTTCACGAGGCAATTCAGATCTACAAACACAGACACAATTTCAACCGAGAAGATGGTTTCAAATTAAGCAACCATTGGAAAGATGTTCTAAATCGAACCAAACATTAAACTAATTTTCAATGGTACAGTATATTTTTGCAAGTAGTGGTACACCAAACTTTCGCAGCTCTTAAATTCCCTTTTCACACCATCAATAGGTAAACTCCCCCCCCCCGCGCCAACCGGCATGTGCACCCGCATGTACACCACCTCTATGCTAAGTCGGCCTATCAAATGCTAATTTTTATGCTAATTCCTTTGTCAAGGCACCTTGTTTCCTCGCACATAGCTTAAAGGTCGCGGTCTGAGCGTGGCTGTGTTTCACTCCAGCGCTGACCTCGAGACAGCCTGATCCCTTCACCTGATGAAGGCCGCTTGTGTTGTGGCCGAAACGTCGTGATTTTTGTTTTATTTTTTACCTACGTGACTTTACCGAATAGAACCAAAGAGTATGGATCCTTGCAGTCACAAAAGCTTTAAATCTAGAGCCGAATGGCTCACAGAGCTATACCAAATAAATGAAACTGAAACTCCCTCTCTCCCTAGGCTACCCCTCACGTCTCCCCCTTTTCCCCTGGGACCTCTTCACTTCAACTACCCTCTCTCTCCCCCTCCTGCTCTCCCGGTCCCCCTCTTTTTAGCCCCCTTTTTCGGGGCTCATCCCTTTCCGCCTCTCTTCCCGCGCTCGACCCTCGTTGGGTCCTGACGGTACTCCTCTACACATGCTGACAGCAGTGTGTTAAGGCTTTATGAGGGAATTTGTCTTCGGAAGGTGTTCATGTTTGTTTCTTTGGTTGACCTTTGCTCATCCAAGTACTATACAGGCTCAATATAGCTTAGCTCCTGAAATTTTTAAACATAAGGCTCATTCTGGGTATTGTGGTGATAGGCTTCAGTCTGGTATAATTCCACGTGTTTTTGAGGTCAGGGAAGAGCCTCGAAGGTTTTCCACCAATATCCATCATGTTCCTTTTTTTAAATTCTTCAACATGCGTTTTCCTTTTGTCCATTGTGAGCAGGAATGACTCTGTGCGGATGGGAGCTTCCTTCGGTCCATCAGAATACAACCTAAAGATTGCAGACCCAAGCCGGATCTCCATACTTAACAATATTGCTAAAAGTATCATCTAAAGACAATTTTCAGCTGAATGGCATAATTCCTCTCCATAGTAATTTACATTATGGGTATCCCTCGATTTAAGAACGTTCGGTTTACGAAATTTTGCGTTAAGTCAATTGAAAAATTATGTACACTTTTTGATTAATGAAATCGAATTTCACTACGCTGCGCGCCATGAGATCGTGAAACATGAGCCACCCGTGAGCCTGCGTTATCATCCACAACAGCGTCACGTTGTCCCTGAAGTGCAACAGTAACGCCTCCACATCACCTTTACAGTCATTCCAACATGTAGCAGATTTTGGTGAGCTCCATGACAAAGTTAATTATTTAAGTTTTTCGTCCGTTATTTCATCGTTTTAATAATTGTTTATTATTTTTTGGACTGGGAAAAATGATATAGGTGTGTATTTTTAGGTTAGCAGTAGAGTTGGAATGACTTCCGAAACACATCCTTAATTTTTTGTATAGGCGGTCTCTGATTGACGACGGTCCCATTTAGAACGATCCACATTCACGACGTTTATATAACGCTACCGTGGATCGACTTATGACGGAGAAACTTGATTTACGACACATCTTCCAACGTGACTGGATTCCAATGCGACTTGCCATTGGGGCTTTTGTTATTCTCAGATGATTTTGTGGAAGTTTACCTTTTAACCTCCGGTTAAACGTGGCTGATAAAAGGAAAAACACATCGGGAAGTGATGTTTCTGCACGTTCTACTGTCTATGGAAAAATAGGGTCCGATTTGCAATGCTCCCAGGGTTTCCAGGAACGCATTATTCAAAAAGCGGGGGCTACCTGTTTTAAATTTATTGGAAAAGCCGTTTAACACGTAAATCGAGGGGTACCTTGTATATCACTGATGATACAGCCTCAAATGACATTGTCCACTGTATCCTGGTCACTCTGCAGTTTTCGCTCATCCGTTTGTTTTGTGCAAGTACGATTAACATTGTGAATAAAATTCAGAACAGAATAATTGGTTGTGACTGTGTAATGACCGAGTTAGAGTCGGCAAGTTCCGTTTCAGTCATTTTTGTTGTTGCGTGTATCGCGTTACAAATTGCAAATGTAGCCCGACGCGAATAAAGTATATTAACTAAACGTATAGTGGTGACGGTGTCTGTTTGGAGAGATGGTTTATATGTCTGTGTATGCACGGGAGACCCTTGAATATTACGGGGTTATCCTTCGTCTTTTCGACCTCTCGCGGGCAACCTCTTGGTATACCAACTTAGCTTTTGCGGGGGTCTTGGCCTTTCGCGAGGGTACTGTATCATGGTGTTGTGTGGCTGAGACCGTGGTGCAGGGCAGGGAGGGACGCGAGGCAGTCAGTGGCACCTCAACAGACTTGGGGCAAGTGCTGTTAGCGAGCCCCGATGAAGGCCGAAACGGCACGCGAGGGGGTGGGTGGCCAGCACCACGCGCGGTCGCCGTTGTCTCCCTCGTGGCGTCATTCATACCCGCACCAGGTACTAATTTAAAGCTGAGTTGACATAGGGGAGGTCCATGACTGGTACAGATAAGTCACTGGTGTTGGCCGTGAGCGGGAATCGAACTCGGGTGTCTGGGTTCGTCTCGAGGCGCGCGAACCGCAACACCACCGACTTACGAACATGAGTCAGGAACGGGTCGTAAGTCGAGGACTGTCCCTCCCGTACCGGCCGTGGGACAGCGGACGAATAATTTTCACGTAAACTCTTATTCTTCTTTATATGGTTGGTAAATGACAAATTAAAAATCATAGTTAATGGAACCAGCCGCTCCAATTTTTTGTTTTATATTTTTATACAAAAAAGTAACCCCAGTTACAAAGCAATTCCATATCCGCTCAACGGTAACACAGCCAATGACGCCATATTTAATTATTTATAAAGATACTTCTTTACACCGACGCATGTTAAATGTTTTGTGGTATTGGTAACAGTTAATAATCGTTGAGCAGAACCGTAAGAAATCTATGTTCATCAAAAAAATAAGCAAATATAAATGCCTTTTATATAACTAAGCCGCTTCCGTTACTAGTGGAAATGACGTCCCCAATGTTAATGTAATACAGGATCGCAATTCGCTGTCCTCGAAATTCGAAAAAGTATTTCTTTATCTGTACTTAAGGGGATCTTTGACACTATTATCCAACAAACTTTAACCAGCCCATCATCAACAAAATTAATACAATTTCAACTTATATTTTAAAATATAAAATATAACTTCCGCTCGAGATTCGAATAAGTCGGACGTGACGTCGCCTCTTCAAAAAAGGCGGGAAAGCGTTTGCCCACCCCACCGCTCGCACGGTCTGAGGGCAAATCGCGTAAGCCGATAAAGTTTTAAAAACCGATAACCAAATAAACAAACAAGGGGGGCAATGTACATCAAGTCGATCGTGGTGGACGGCTTCAAGTCGTACGCCCAACGCACGGAGATCTCCGACTGGGATCCGCTGTTCAACGCCATCACGGGGCTCAATGGCAGCGGCAAATCCAACATCCTGGACGCCGTTTGCTTCGTGCTGGGCATCTCCAACCTGTCTCAGGTGAGCCTAGTCTGGCACCAGGGAATATGTATTTGTATGAACCTTGCGCGGTACCAGTAGGAGAGCGTGAAGAAAGTGCGTGTGTGAGGAGAGTGGTAGAGTGTGTGAACCTTTCCCGGCACTAGTATGAGACTGTCTCTGTGAGTACTTGGTGCGATGTGTAAACATCGCCACTGGGGGAGACAAAGGCGGTCGGGCGTGGTGCTGGCCATCCACTCTCCCGTGTGCCGTGCCGGCCTTAATAGGTGCTCGCCTACAGCACTTGCCCCAACAGTTTTTTCAGGTTATACGGGGAATCTTTGTCGCGTGTGAACCTAGCCTGGTGCTGGGCATCTTAAACTTGTCTCAGGCGAACCTAGCCTAGCACCAGAGTGTGAGTGGTGTGTGAACCTAGCCTGACACCAATGAGAGGGAGCGTGTGAGAATAGCGGGTGAGAGCAAGAGAGTGTGAGAAGAGCGGAAGTGTGTTTGTGAACCTATCGTAGCACCAGTGTTATGGAGAGATTATGAGAAGTACTTGATTGTGTGTGTATGTATGTGTGAACCTGGCCTGGCACGAGAGAGACAGTGTGCACCTAGCCTGGCACCAGTGTGAGGGAGAGTGTGTGCGCGTTGTGCTGGGGAGAGTGGGAGTGTGTGTGGGGGAACCTGGCGTTTAGACTAGAGAGAGAGAGGGAGAGAGTGTGTGAACCTAGCCTGGCATTAGTCAGAGTGTGTGTGAACATAGCCTTGTACCGTTTAACACGTAGAATTTCGCAGACCAATATCCATAATACATGTTGTTTTGCGTTAGATCGGAAGGTTTTGGGTTAGATTGATAGTGAGAGTGTGTGTGAACCTCGCCTGGAATTGTGGTGAGCGAGTTAGTGAACCAAGCTAGGTACCAGTGAGTGAGAGCGAGTGTGAGGGTGGCCCAAAGTCAGGACATTATTATACAGGGTGACCCCAAAGTCAGGTGGCATTGGGTTATTATGCAGGGTGGGTTAATTCGTATATTTGAACACATTTTCAAACTGACTTTCATTATTAATATCAGAATGCTTGAATTCTCTTTTGAAATTAATTTACAGGTGTAATCTTTGAGCATTCTCTCTCTCTGTGCCTCTCTCCCTCTCTCTGTCTCCTTGTCTCCCTGTCTCTTTCTCTTCCTCCCCTCTCTCACTGCCCCTCTCTCTGTAGGTGAGAGCAGCAAGTCTGCAGGAGCTGGTCTACAAGAACGGCCAGGCTGGCGTTACAAAGGCAACTGTCTCCATCACGTTCGACAACCGTGACAGGAAACAGAGCCCCCTGGGGTTCGAAGGCCATGCGGAGATCACCGTCACCAGACAGGCACGCACACCCTCGCCTTTACTCATCCACCCGCTTGCTCACCCGCTCGCTCACCCACTCACTCTCACTCACCTATTCACCCAGAGAGAGAGGACCACGCGGAGATCCCGGCCACCAGACAAGCACGCAGCACTCTAAATTTATCTGTGTATTTGAGTGTGCGCGTATATGTGTACGTGTGGGTTGGTGTGTGTGTCTCTCTGTCTCAGTGTCCCCTTGTGTCTCTCTGAGTCTTTGTCTGAGTGTATCCTCTGTGCAGGTGGTGATTGGAGTCTCAGTGTCTCTGCATGTGTCTGCTCTGCCTGTCTCTTCTGTGCAGGTGGTGATTGGCGGCAGGAACAAGTATCTGATCAACGGGGTGAACGCCACCACGGCGCGTGTGCAGGACCTCTTCCGCTCCGTGGGCCTCAACGTCAACAACCCCCACTTCCTCATCATGCAGGTACCTCAATATCACCACTAACACCACCATCATCATCACCACCATCAACGTCAACAACCCCCACTTTCTCATAATGTAGGTACCACCTCTACATCATCAACATCATCAGCATCATCGTGAAGGTTAGACTCTATTATCTTCTGCTCATGATGGAGACGAGTGGTGAGTGGTTGGTGAGTGAGTGTTTTTTGTTTTGCAGGGTCGCATCACCAAGGTTTTGAACATGAAGCCTCCTGAGGTGAGGCATTTGCCCTTGCCACCACTCCCCCTTTCCACCACTCACCCACTCATCGTGTCCACCCCTCATCACCGCTCACCCTCGTCTCCTCACATCTCTAAAAGGATGCAGGCACTAGGATCTTTCCCCTCCTCGCCAATCTCCTCACTCTTCTCACCTCTCTCCTCACCTCTCCAGATCCTGGCAACGATTGAGAGGCTGCAGGGACTCGTATCTCTTCTCCTCACCTCTGCCCCTTACCTCTCGTCTCCGCACCTCTCCCCACAACTCCTCACCTTTCCCCACATCTCTCAGTGTCTCTCTTTCCCTCAACGTCCCTTCCCTTCCTCAACCCCCCTCACCTCACCCCAGATCCTAGCGATGATTGAGGAGGCTGTAGGGACCCATATCTCTGCTCCTCACCTCTCGTCTCTTTACCTCTGCTCCTGACCTCTCCTCACCTCTCCCCATCATCTCCTCACCTCTCCCCAATATCTCTTCATCTCTTCTTGGTTCTTTCGGTAAAGTCACATAGAATGAGAAGGTGACTTTACAGAAAGAACCTTGCAGTCACGAAAGCTTTAAATCGAAATCTCTTCACCTCTCCCTGTCTCTCCTCGTCTCTCTATTTCTGTCTCCTCGTCCCCACCCCTCCTCGTCTCTCCTCCTCACCTCTGCCCCTCACCTCACCCCAGATCCTGGCGATGATTGAGGAGGCTGCGGGGACCAGGATGTACGAGAGTAAGAAACTGGCAGCGCAGAAGACTATTGAGAAGAAAGAGGCCAAACTTAAGGAGATCAACGATGTGAGGGGACCTCCTGCTCACCACCTACGCACACCACCTACGCTCACCACCTACGCACACCACCTACGCACACCACCTACGCACACCACCTACGCACACCACCTACGCTCACCACCTACGCTCACCACCTACGCTCACCACCTACGCTCACCACCTACGCTCACCACCTACACTTACTATGAGCCACGAGTTACCCCCATGATCTCATGACCCCTGTCTCCATTTTACCAGGTTCTGGATGAGGAAATTTCTCCAACACTGGAAAAACTCAAACAGGTGAGGCACCGACACTTGCTATACACTCACCACTCGTAGCTCACTCGCCACCCACTCGCCACACACTCACCATACACTCACCACTCTCCCCTCCCACTTCACCCCCAGGAGCGCACCTCCTACTTGGAATACAGCAAGCTGTGCCGGGAGCTGGATTCTCTCCGGCGCCTGGTGATCGCTCACCAGTTCTGCACGGCGAGCCAGGGCCAGGAGAGCGCCGCTCTGCACCTCCAGAAGCTACGCGCTGATGAGCAGGAGGCGCGAGAGGAGGTAGAGAGGCTGGAGAAGGAGGAGAAGAAGAGGGAGGGAGAGCTGCGGGAGATGGAGAGGGAACGGGACAAGGTGAGCAGGAGTTGGGGGGAAGAGGTGGAGGGGGAGAGAGAGGTAGGGAGGGAGGCGGAGAGTGAGCGGGAGGAGAGTGAGAGCTGTGGGAGATGGAGAGGAACATGGTGTGGGTGAGGGAAGGAGAGGGAAGTGATGTTAATAATGTTGATGATGGTGATGTTGATGGTGTGTGGGAGGCAGGAGGGGATCTGTCCTGTGTGGAGGAGGCCCTGACCCATGCGCAGTGTGCCCACGCCAAGGCCCAGAGCGTGCCCATGCCAAGGCCCTGACCCAGGCCCAGTCATGGTGATGATGATATTGATGGTTATGATGGTGGTGGTGATGTTGATGATGGTGTACAGGAGGCCGGAGGGGATCTGGCCCGTGTGGAGGAGGCCCTGACCCATGCCCAGCGTGCCCACGCCAAGGCCCAGAGCACCCTGGACATCCGCACAGAGGCCCTGGCTACGGAGCGGGCCCACAGGGACCAGCTGCTCGCGAACATGCGGGAGGTACCTCCTCGCCTACCTCGCTCACCTCCCTTACTCACCTCTCTCTCACCATGTCTCTCTCTGCAGGCCACACCTCATCCAATCTTTATTTTCAAATGTCAATTCATGTTTTACTTGTGATAATCAATAAAAAAATAAGTTAGGTAAACTACCACGATTAAACTACCCTAACATCTAAATACCGCCCCCACCCCCCCCCCCCCCTAAAAAAACCTTATCGCTGCGTTTAAAACAAGTATTTTTATGTTCAGATAATATGAATCATCGTATTACTGATATTTAGAGAGCTAAGTGAATGTGTTTTGTCACCATGTGTATGGGGCTGGGTGGTCTGTGGAAATGTTTTGCATCAGCTGAGTGGTCCACAGGCCAAAAACGCTGCTCTAGACTAGGTGAACTTCACCTCCGGGCTCGCAGGTCGTGTCTCACCCACAGTGTCTCCCCCTCTCTCACCCCTTCTCTGCCCCCAGGACGCCAGTGCCCGCGATGCCAAGCGCTCCCAGGTAGTGGCGCTGGAGGCGGCGCTGGCGTCGGCGTCGGCATGCTCCCAGGAAGCGGCGAGGGGCCTGCAAGAAGCTCAGGCACGCTTTGCGGCGGCCTCGGTGGGCCTCTCGGAGGATGGGCAAGGCGGCCATGCCGCCACGCTGGCCGAGCAGATTCTGAAGTGCCGCCAGGAGGCCAGCCAGGCCCAGACTGAAGCTGCGCAGGCAAGGGAGAAGGCCTCTGGGCCGACTAACTCGTGCATTCACCCACCCGTTCTCACTCGCCCTCCCCCCCCTCCCAAGCCCAGATGAAGCTGGAGTACCCACTCAACAACCCACCCCACCCCGTGCCCCCCAGGCCCAAATGAAGCTGTCTCACGTGCAGCGCGAGCTGCAGCAGCGCAAGGCGGAGGAGGGCCGCACCACGGAAGCCTACACACGCGACCAGCAGGCTCTGTCTCGCTTGAAGGCCCGAGCCCAGGGCCTACTCAGGGACATGGCCGCCCTGGGCTACACGGGTAACACGGGGGATGGAGGAGAGGTGGAGAGCGTGCAGGAAAGAGTGACGGGGGGAGGGGAGAGGAGCAACACTGGGTGGGGGTGGAGAGGGGCGTAGTGTAGGGGTTAGCGTGCTGCGCTACTACGAACCCGGCAACCCGAGTTCGATTCCCGCTCACGGCCAACACCAGTGACAATTATGTGATCTGGTCATTGACCTCCCCTAAGTTAACTCGGCCTTAATTGAGTACCTGGTGCAATGTGTAAATGTCACCATCGAGGGAAACAGGAGGTCTGGTGTGGTGCTGGCCGCCCACCCCCTCGTGTACCACACAGGCCTTAGCAGCACTTGCCCCAACACTGTTGAGGCTATATAGGGGAGCTTTGTCTTTGAGTCCCTGTGTGTTGTTCGAGTGGGAAACGGTGGTTAGTGGTTAGCATGCTGCGCTACTATGAACTCAGCAGAAACCGAAGTTCGATTCCCGCTCATGGCCACCACCACCAGTGGTAATGGTAATGGCAGCAATTATCTGAACAATCGGTCCTGGGCCTCCTCCCCAAGGTAATCTCGGCCTCAAATGAGTACTTGGTGCAGTGTGCAGTAAACATCGCCATTGGAGCAGCTGTGTGTGGCTGTTACCATGGACACTATAAACTAAACTATAAACTATATTTATTTTACCAGGTAAGGCCCCACTCAGCTATGTAGCTCTTTTTAAGAAGCGACTTGGCTATCAAAAATGATAGCTCAACGAAGTGGCTTATCACGTGGAAATTTATAGCATCCAATACTCTAAAGGGGTGATGTTGATTCTAAATGTTGAGGGGAAAAACCGGAGGTCCCGGAGAAAAATCCACGCGACCACGGGGAGAGAAACATGCAAACTCCAAATATACAGCAGGCGTCAGGGTTGGGATCGAACCCATGACTTCCTGTACACCAGGCGAGGCAGTTAACATAACAGGTGGTGTCCAGCTGTAGAGGGGCAGCTGTGTAACTGTTATCATGGAGACGGTAGGGAGGCTAACAGGCGGTGTCCGGATGTAGAGGGCCAGCTGGAGATGCTGCAGAAGAAGATGAAGGAGCTGGCCGCGGAGGAGTCGGCGATGAGGGAAAAAGTGGACCGGGCGATCGCCAGCATGCCCCAGCTCCAGTTTGATTACCGGTGGGTGGATCTGTTACTCTTCTAGATTTGAAGCTTTCGTGACTGGAAGAATCCATACTCTTTGGTTCTGTTACTCATCTGCTCACTCATTTACCCATTCACTTGCTCCATCGCCACCACATCCCAGCTCTAGTTTGACTACCGGTGGGTGGGTCTGTCGCTAGCTCACTCACCCACTCGCTCATTTACCCACTCACTCACTAACCTACCCACCCACTCATTCACCCGCTCGCTCATTCACCCACTCATTCACCTGTTCGCTTACTCACTCACTCGCTCATTCACTTTCTTGCTCATGGTCTTGCTCGCTCACTCATGCGCTCCCTCACTCGTTTGCTCGCTAACTCACTCGCTCCCTCACTTGCTCGTTCACTTGCTCACTCACATACTCAACTACCCATTCACCTGTTAGCTCGCTCACTCACTCACTTGCTCACTCACTACTCGTGTTCCCTCATCTCTCTTCACTCCTCACCCTGCTCCCCACCGCCATGCTCCCGCATGCCCTGTGCAGGGACCCCGAGCAGGGCTGGGACCGTGGCCGTGTCAGGGGCCTGGTGGCGTCTTTGCTCCGCGTGGAGGATCCTGCAGCCGCCACTGCCCTGGAGGTGGTGGCCGGGGGTAAACTCTACAACGTGGTGACTGACACTGAGGTGAGCGCCCACGCTCACCCACGCTTGCCCACACCCACCCACCACCATGGAGGTGGTGGCCGGGGGTAAACTCTACAATGTAATGACCAACACTGTGGTGAGTGCCCAGTCTTCACCCACGCACACCCACACTCACCCCGTGAGTGGCTCGCCCATGCTCACTCGCACTCACCGGGGCGAGCAGTCGGTGAGTGAGTTTCTCTGTCTCCCTCCCCGTGTGTCACTGTGTCGCAGCTGACAGGGAAGCTCCTGCTGGAGCGTGGCTGCCTACGGCGCAGAGTCACGGTGATCCCGCTGAACAAGATCAGCCCCAGCGTCACCCCCCCCAGCGTCAGCACCATTGCGCGCAGCCTCGTGAGCACCCTGCCGTGTCTCCCCTCCGTGTCTCCTCACCATGATCTCCCGTGTCTCTCTCCTCACCCCCGTGATCTCGACATGTCTTCTGTGTCCCCGTGTCTCCTTCCCGTGTCCCTGTCTCCTCACTCACCATGTCTCCCCCCTCACCGCCCCACGTCTCACCCCCCTCACCCCCTGCATCTCACCCCCTGCATCTCCCCCCTCACCCCTCCCGTCCCTGTGTCTTCCCCCCCATCCCCCATATCTGACCCCCCACGTCTCACCCCTTCTGAGTCTCCTTCGTCACCCCACCCCCCCCGCATTTCCCCACTCACCCCTGCCGCATCTCCCCCAGGCGGACGGTGTCTCTCCCGCGCTGTCCCTCGTGTCTCCGCGCTCTCCCCGTGATCTTCCTGCACTGGAGTTTGTGTTCGGCGCAGCGTTCGTCTGCCCGACGATGGACGCGGCACGTGCCGTGGCCTTCCACCCTCGGGTGTCCACGCGGGCGGTGACGCTGGACGGGGACTCCTTCAGCCCGCACGGCACACTCACTGGGGGGGCACGGGCACAGGTAGGTCACTCGCCACCACCACACTTATACCACCACGCTCACACCACTATTACCATCACTCACCACGCGTGCAGTGACGCTGGACGGAGACTTCTTCAGCCCGCTACGGCATGCACACGAGTGGGGGCGTGGGCACAGGTGGGTCGCTCACCACCAACCACACTCACTACTATCACTGCCACGCTCACCACCCCCCCTGGGTGTGCAGGTGGTGAGTGTGCTGGTCAGAGTGGAGCAGCTGCTCACCCTGCAGGATAAGCTGAAGGAGTTGGAGGAGGAGGGGAAGAGGATTAACGAGGAGGTTCACACACTCACCAAGCTCGCAGAGAGGTGAGCATGGTGAGGGGGCAGGTAAGGATGTGGAGGGGAGTGATGGGCTTGGAATGTGGTGGAGAGGGGGTGGTGAGGAGTGGGGAAGAGGCTTCCTCACTCACCCAGCTCGTAGAGCGGTGGGGGGTTAAGGAACGTGAAGAAAAGTGTGGGGAGGTGGGTTGAGATGAGGAGGGGTGTAGGGAGGTGGGTGGTGGGGAGGGTAGCTCAGGAGCATGGTGAGGAGTTTGGAGAGTGGCGGTGAGGAGCAGAGGAGGATGGAGGAAGCTCGCACACTCTGCCAGCTTGCGGAGCGGTGAGGAGTGAGAAGGGGAGGCTGCATGAGGAGTGTGAAGGGTGTGGGGGGAGGAGCATGGTGAGAGCAGGAGTGGAGTGGGGAGGAGAGTGACTGTGTGTGTCTCTCCGTTTGTTTCCCTCTTTCTCTTCCAGGCACCGTGAGCTGCGCCAGCAGCAGGAGTTGGTGGCGCAGGAGGTGGAGCAGCTGCAGCAGAAGCTGGAGCTCAGCACTCACCACAAGCTCCAGACGGAGCTCGCCGCACTCGCCACCTCCATCGGTGAGCCACTCGCCCATCCACTCACCCAGACACTCACCACCAGAAGCTGGAGATCAGCACTCACCACAAGCTCCAGACGGAGCTCCCTGCACTCGCCACCTCCATCGGTGAGCCACTCACCCATCCACTCACCACCAGAAGCTGGAGGTCAGCAGTCACCACAAGCTCCAGACAGAGCTCACCGCGCTCACCACCTCCATCGATGAGCCACTCGCCTCCCCACACAACAATTTAATCGGTGAGCCGCTTCCTCTCCCCAAATCTGTCTCTCTCCCTATATATTTCACACTCTCTCCACGTCTCTTTCTCCCTCTCTTTTTCCGCTTCTTCCCCCGTCTCCCTTTCCGTGTAGAGGAGCTGAGGTGAGGAGAGAACAAAGTGTGTCTCTCTCACTCTCCCTGTATCTCCCTCCCTATCTCTCCCCGGGTCTCTGACTCTCCATCTCTCTCCATGTCTCTCTCCATCTCTGTCGCTCTCCGTGTGTCACTGTCTCCCCCTCTCTCTCTCTCACCCTCTCTCTTTTCCCCTCTCTCCCCGTTTCTCTTTACCAGTGTCTTTCTCACCCTTACCCACTGTCTCTCTCCCTCTTTTTTCCTTTCTCGACCCCCTCCCTTCTCTCTCCCTCTCTGTAGAGGAGCTGAGTGCGGCGCCCGCTCTCTGCGAGGAGCGGAGAACGGCCGCGTTGCAGCGCCTCCACTCCCTGGAGGAGCGACTCCAGAACGCCGAGCGGGACCGGCGCCACGAGCAGGAGGGGGCCTCCAGCGCCCTCGAGTTGGCACGGGGGACAGCCCAGAAGCTAGCGGGGATCGCCAGGGAGGCACAGCAGGTGAGGGGGTGGTGAGGGGGTGGTGAGGGGGTGGTGAGGGGGTGGTGAGGGGGTGGTGAGGGGGTGGTGAGGGGGTGGTGAGGGGGTGGTGAGGGGGTGGTGAGGGGGTGGTGAGGGGGTGGTGAGGGGGTGATGAGGGCGTGGGTGGCAGGTTGAGGGAGTGGTTGGGTGGGTGGGTAAATTAGGTGATGGGTTGGTGAGTTGGATGAATTAATGAGTGGGAGGGTGAGCATGTAGATGGGTGGGTGAGTGGGTAGGTCAATTGATGGATGGGTGAATTCATTTGTGGGTGAATTAATGCATGAGTGTGAAAGTAAGTGAGCAGGTGGTGCATGAGCTATTGGGAGGGTGATTGGGTGGATTAAGGAATGGGTGGGTGAGTTGATGGGTGGTTGTGTGTGGGTCATTGAGTGAGTGAACTCTAACCCCCCCCCCCTGCCAGTCTCTGTCCACTGCTAGGCTGGAGGTGGAGGAGCTAGAGAAGGAGGCGCTGGTAGGGCAGCAGGAGCTGCAGAGGCTGGAGGCGGCCATGCTCTCCCTGGAGGAGACCGTCCAGGAGCTTAGCGCCTCTGCTGAGAGCTTGCAGGTATCTATACTTGCTCACTCGCCTACCCACCCACTCACCTGCCCACCCACCTACCCACCCACTCACCTTCCCACATACCCACCTACCCAATCACTTTTTTTTTTACCTGGAAAGGCCCACTGAGCCTTTTTCTCAGACGTGACCTGGCCAAAAAATTATACCCCAATGCAGTGGCTTATTACATGGAAATTTATAGCAGCCAAATACTTTGCGCATATTTCTAAATGTGGAAGGAAAAACCGGAGGACCTGGAGAAAAATCCACGTGACCACTGGGAGAGAGAGAGAGACATGCCAATTCCATCGACCCCAGAACCTCCTGTATACTGGGCGAGATAGTTAACATCTTGCCACCCGAGTCGCTCTAATCCATCCCCGTGTCTCTTCTGCCTGTGTGCCACAGGCGCGTGTCTCCGAGTGCCAGCGCCACGTGACGGAGCTCCAGGAGGTGCTGCGTGCTCGCCAGGAGGCGCTGGGCGAGGCGGCGCGGGCGCTGGAACAGCTGCGGGCGCGGCGCAGCGCCGCCGCTCTCACCCTGACGGAGCGCGGGCACGCAGTGGGGCGACACCAGCGGGACGCCCTGGACAACGCAGCCAAGGTACCCGCCACTCACTCACTCAACCACTCACTCAACCACTCATTCACTCAACCATTCACTCACTCGACCACTTAATCCACCACTCACTCACTCAACCACTCGCTTACTTACAGTGAGGGAAAAAAGTATTTGATCCCCTGCTGATTTTATACGTTTGCCCACTGACAAAGAAATGATCAGTCTATAATTTTAATGGTAGGTTTATTTGAACAGTGAGAGATAGAATAACAAAAACAAAAATCCAGAAAAATGCATGTCTAAAATGTTCTAAATTGATTTGCATTTTAATGAGGGAAATAAGTATTTGACCCCTCTGCAAAACATGACTTAGTACTTGGTGGCAAAACCCTTGTTTGCAATCACAGAAGTCAGACGTTTCTTGTAGTTGGCCACCAGGTTTGCACACATCTCAGGAGGGATTTTGTCCCACTCCTTTTTGCAGATCTTCTCCAAGTCATTAAGGTTTCGAGGCTGACGTTTGGCAACTCGAACCTTCAGCTCCCTCCACAGATTTTTTATGGGATTAAGGTCTGGAGACTGGCTAGGCCACTCCAGGACCTTAATGTGCTTCTTCTTGAGCCACTCCTTTGTTGCCTTGGCCGTGTGTTTTGGGTCATTGTCATGCTGGAATACCCATCCACGACCCATTTTCAATGCCCTGGCTGAGGGAAGGAGGTTCTCACCCAAGATTTGACGGTACATGGCCCCGTCCATCGTCCCTTTGATGCGGTGAAGTAGTCCTGTCCCCTTAGCAGAAAAACACCCCCAAAGCATAATGTTTCCACCTCCATGTTTGACGGTGGGGATGGTGTTCTTGGGGTCATAGGCAGCATTCCTCCTCCTCCAAACACGGCGAGTTGAGTTGATGCCAAAGAGCTCCATTTTGGTCTCATCTGACCACAAAACTTTCACCCAGTTGTCCTCTGAATCATTCAGATGTTCATTGGCAAACTTAAGACGGGCATGTATATGTGCTTTCTTGAGCAGGGGGACCTTGCGGGCGCTGCAGGATTTCAGTCCTTCATGGCATAGTGTGTTACCAATTGTTTTCTTGGTGACTATGGTCCCAGCTGCCTTGAGATCATTGACAAGATCCTCCCGTGTAGTTCTGGGCTGATTCCTCACTGTTCTCATGATCATTGCAACTCCACGAGGTGAGATCTTGCATGGAGCCCCAGGCCAAGGGATATTGACAGTTCTTTTGTGTTTCTTCCATTTGCGAATAATCGCACCAACTGTTGTCACCTTCTCACCAAGCTGCTTGGCAATGGTCTTGTAGCTCATTCCAGCCTTGTGTAGGTCTACAATCTTGTCCCTGACATCCTTGGAGAGCTCTTTGGTCTTGGCCATGGTGGAAGTTTGGAATCTGATTGATTGCTTCTGCGGACAGGTGTCTTTTATACAGGTAACAAGCTGAGATTAGGAGCACTCCCTTTAAGAGTGTGCCCCTAATCTCAGCTCGTTACCTGTATAAAAAATACCTGGGAGCCAGAAATCTTTCTGATTGAGAGGGGGTCAAATACTTATTTCCCTCATTAAAATGCAAATCAATTTATAACATTTTTTACATGCGTTTTTCTGGATTTTCTTGTTATTCTATCACTGTTCAAATAAACCTACCATTAAAATTATAGACTGATCATTTCTTTGTCAGTGGGCAAACGTACAAAATCAGGGGATCAAATACTTTTTTCCCTCACTGTAACCACTTACTCGCTCACTCAACCGTTCGCTCAACCGCTTGTTCTAGCGCTCGCTCGCTCAACTACTCACGCTCAACCACTTGCGCTCAACCACTCACCCATTCACACTCAATCACTCGCTCACCCACTCGACCATTCACTCTCTCACTCTTGAATCCCCACTAACCCCCTCTCTCTCCTTCCCCGCTCTCTTAGGTGGATCGTCTGCTCAAAGAGAATGCGTGGATCTCCACAGAGCGCGCTCTATTTGGCCGCCCCAACACGGCGTATGACTTCGCCGCCAGCGACCCAAGCGATGCTGCCCGGAGGCTATCACGCCTGGAGCAGACACGCCAGCGGATGGTGCACACCGTCAACGAGAGGGCCATGAACCTGCTGGCCCAGTCCGAGGAGAAGGTGAGGGAGAGATGGGGGCGGGGAGAGGCAGGGAGAGGGGGAGATAAGAGTGGGGGAAGAGGAAGACACAGGAAGAGTGAGACAGATCCTGAGACTGATCCTGTGTGACCCCATGACCCAATGACCCCAGTACGTGGACCTGATGAAGAAGAAGCGGATCGTGGAGAACGACAAAACCAAGATCTTCAGCGCCATGCAGGAGCTGGATCTCAAGAAGAACGAGGCTCTTAACCTGGCCTGGAGACAGGTACCACACTCGCCACTTGCTAACCACTCGCTCATCATGGAGGAGCTGGATCTCAATAAGAACAAGGCCCTCAACCTGGCCTGGAGACAGGTCTAATGCTGACCACTCATTCACCACCATACTCTCCAAGCACTCACTCACTATACTCACCACCCACTCACCATGGAGGAGCTGGATCTGAGAAGAACAAGGCCCTCCACCTGGCCGAGAGACAAGTTCCACGCTCACCATTCACCACCATAATCACCACTCACTCGCCACCATACCAGTCTCTCTGTCCCCATCTCTTTCTGTCCCCATGTCTTTCTCACTCTCACTAACCCCAAGTGTGTGTTCTCCCTATGTCTCTCTCCCCTCATCTCTCCTTTCTCTCTCCCCCCGCATGCATCTCCCTCTGCCCACGTGCGTCTCTTTCCAGGTGAATGGAGACTTCAGCTCCATATTCTCCACGCTGCTGCCTGGCTCCCAGGCGCGTCTCACTCCCGTGGAGTCCTCTTCCTCCTCCACCTCCTCGCTGCTCCAAGGCCTGGAGTTTCGTGTGGCTCTGGGCTCCGTCTGGAAGGAAAATCTGAGCGAGCTGAGCGGAGGCCAGAGGTGAGGGAGGGGTCCCTGGCGGCTGTGTGTGTGTATATATGTGTGCATCTGTATTTATATCTGTGTATCTCTGTGCTATCCAGGTCCCTGGTGGTGCTCTCTGATCCTGGCGATGCTGCTACCTCTCTGCATATCTCTCTCTCTATATATGTATATCTTTGTATCTATACTCTTTGGTTCTATTGGGTAAAGTCACGTAGGTAAAAAAATAAAATAACAAAAATCACGACGTTTCGGCCACAACACAAGCGGCCTTCATCAGGTGAAGGGACGAGACTGTCTGGAGGACAGCGCTGGAGTGAAAAAAGGCCACGCTCAGATCACGACCTTTAAGCTGTGTGAGAAGAAACAAAGCGCCTTGACAAAGGAATTAGCATATAATTTAGCATTGAAATGGCTAAGTTAAAGTATACACATCCGCAGAGGCACCCCTTGACAAAGGAATTAGCATAGAATTTAGCATTGAAATAGCTGAGTGATTAGCTTGTAACTGGTCACAGAAATAGCTATGTTAAAGTCAGAGCATATACATTCACCGAGGCACCTAGTACAAATCAAACAGGAGAATTTAGCGAAACACAACCACGCTCAGACCGCGGACCTTTAAGCTGTGTGCGAGCAAACAAGGTGTCCTGAAAAAGAAATTAGCATAAAAATTAGCATTTGATTGGCCGATTTTAGAAAAGCGGTGGTGTTCGTGCCGGTGGACTTGCCGTTTGGCGCGGGGAGTTTACCTATTGATGGTGTGAAAAGGGAATTTATAAGAGCTGCGAAAGTTTGGGGTACCACTACTTGAAAAATATACTGTACCATTGAAATTAGTTTAATGTTTGGTTCGATTTAGAACATCTTTCCAATGGTTGCTTAATTTGAAACCATCTTCTCGGTTGAAATTGTGTCTGTGTTTGTAGATCTGAATTGCCTCGTGAACAAATCTCTGATGAAAACCCGTGGGTTTACAAAGAACCTTGGTATCGGAGAAAATTATATCATGATCACCCACAGCGTTGTAACAGTGATCAGCTACGGCAGAATAATTTGTTTTGCCGTGTTTCAAATCTGATTTGTGATCGCGAATTCGGTCAGAGACATGTCGCTTTGTCTCCCCGATATAGCAATCACCGCAGGTACAACTCAATTTGTAAACCCCGGGGTACTGTAAGTCAGGAATGACATCCTTCACGGATGGGATCAGATCACGAATTTTGTGTACTGTATTGAACCGGACCTGGATCTTGTGTTTGTTTAGAATTTTGGAAATCTTTTTAGTAACGCCTGCTATATATGGTAGTGTGATGGTTTTGACCGGAGTATCAAGTGGTTGTTTCTGTATGGAGGGAGAAACAGCTTGGCGGATGGTACGGTCAGAGTAACCATTCCTTTTGAGGGCCAGGTGTACATGTTTTAATTCACTGGTCAGGTGGTGTTGGTCCGAAATGCAATGAGCCCTATGGTATAAAGTTTTGATGAGAGAATTCTTTTGGGCTGGGTGGTGGTGGGAATCAGGTTTCAAGTAGGAATCTGTGTGGGTGGGTTTCCTGTAGACAGAATGCCCCAATGAGCCATCAGGTCTCCTCTCAAACAGAACATCTAAGAATGGTAGCTTGCCATCTTTCTCCACTTCCATGGTGAATTTGATGGCGAGATGTCTGGAATTGATGTGATGTAGGAAAAGGTTCAGAGCTGGGAGGCCATGTGGCCAAATGACGAAAGTGTCATCCACATATCGATTCCACAGGGAAGGTCTGAGGGTGGAAGTCTGGATGGCGTCTGATTCAAATTTCTCCATGAAAATATTGGCTATCACTGGTGACAAGGGGGATCCCATTGGGGTACCCTCATTTTGTTTGTAGAAGGAGCCATTCCAAGTAAAGTAGGTATTGTTGAGGCAGTGCCTAACCAGTACAGGTGTAAATTTTGATTTAAAGCTTTTCGTGACTGCAGTAATTCATATTCTTAGTTTTTTCGGTAAAGTCACATTGAAGAGAAACAACAAAATAACAAAATATATATAAAACAATAAAAAATTCTCACGACGTTTCGACCATAACTCAAACGGTCATCATCAGGTGTGTCGGTTTGCATAAATTTATTTTGAAAACGGCATATTTATTTATTTATATATAAAAATAACGTTTGCGTCACACGCAACGATTGGCTGTTTGCCAGGACTAGTCCATCTATTTTTTGAAAAGAGGAGGGGGGAGACGAAATTTGTTTTTATGTATGCTGTCTGAAAGCCACTGTAAGCGTGAACAATCAATCAAGAACTGAAATGATTGATCAAATCTTTCCAATGATTGCTAAGATAGAATCCATCTTCTCGGTTGAAATTGTCTCTGTGTTTGTATATGTGGATAGCCTCATGAACGAATCTCTCATGGAAGCCAGATGGCTTACAAAGAACCTCCGTCTTGGAAAAGTCAATGGCATGTGAGCCTACTGAATTAGAACAATGATCTGCTACGGCCGAGGTGTTGGTCCTACCGTGTTTAAGGTCTGCTTTATGTTCACGAATGCGGTCCGAGATATGGCGTTTGGTTTCTCCAATGTAACTACTACCACAGAGGCAACTTAGTTTGTAGACACCAGGGTATTGTATGTCCGGAATCACATCTTTTACAGACGGAACCAGATCACGGATTTTATGTAATGTGTTGAAACGGACCTGGATCTTGTGTTTATTCAAGATTTTGGAGATCTTTTTTGTGATCCCAGCAATGTAGGGTAAAGTGATGGTTTTGAAAGGCTCCTCAAGAGGGTTCTTCTTCATGGTTTGAGTGATAGCTTTGCGGATTGTATAGTCGGAGTAACCATTAGCCCTAAGAGCTTGGTGTACGTGCTTGAGTTCACTGCTTATGTGTTCCTGGTCGGATATGCATTGGGCTCTATGATACAGAGTCTTGATGAGAGAATTCTTCTGTGATGGATGGTGGTGGGAATCCGGTTTCAGATAAGCATCCGTATGGGTAGCTTTCCTGTAGACAGAGTGGCTCATTGAACCATCAGGTCTCTTTTTAATTAGGACATCCAAAAAAGGTATCTTGCCATCTATTTCGACTTCCATGGTAAATCTGATGGCTGGGTGTATGGAATTGATGTGGTCGAAGAATTGGTCTAGAGCAGGCCGGCCATGTGGCCAGATGACAAAAGTGTCATCCACGTACCTCTTCCATAAGGTTGGGCGCAGAGTGGCAGTCTGGATGGCGTCAGTCTCAAATTTCTCCATGAAAATGTTAGCTATAACTGGAGAAAGGGGGGAGCCCATTGGGGTGCCCTCAGTTTGTTTGTAGAAAGTTCCATTCCAAGTGAAGTATGTATTGGTTAAACAGTGTCTCACCAGGGGGGGTACCTCAGTGTTTAGTCCTTGATGAACCAAGTCTTCAATGATTGCAATGGTGTCAGGTACAGGAACCTTGGTGAATAAGGAAACTACATCAAAACTGACAAGCAGGTCGTCTGGGGACAGGGAAATACCCTTGATTGTTGATACCAGGTGAGTAGAATTTTGTACCGCAGAGGTGGTCTTTCCAGTGAAAGGACGCAGGATTTCAGACAAAAAACGAGCTAGTTTGTAGGTGGGGGAGCTGATAGTAGAGACTATGGGACGAAGAGGTGTATCAACTTTATGTATTTTTGGTAAGCCGTATAATCTTGGTGGCCTGGCAGCAGAAGGTTTCAACGAAAACTGTTTAGATTGATCAATTAATGCGGTTGAATCAGAAATTATTTTGTTGGTTTGTGTGACGAGGCTGTTGGTGGGATCTCTTTTTATTTTTGTATAACTACCATCGTCGAGTAATTCTTTAATTTTGTTGTTGTATTCTATTTTATCCATGATAACAGTAGCATTGCCTTTGTCAGCTGAGAGAACTACAATATCATTCCTCTTTTTTAATTTATATAATTCAAAACGCTCATCTTTGCTGAGGTTGCTAGCTGGCATCTTAGCGTTTTTGAGGGTTGCAGCGATTTCAGATCTTGCTACGTCTGCAGCGATGTGACCCAGGCCCCTGAGAGCAACGTCTACTTGGGCAATTATATCATTAACTGGTATGTGTTTAGGTGTGACTGCAAAGTTTAGACCTTTAGCTAAAACGGATTTCAGACCATCGGAAATAGAACTGTTACTGCGATTAATTACGACTTTATTAACGTCTAACTTTTTGGTGTGTGGGTCCGGTCTTTTGTTGAAAAGGAGGTTAAATTTGGAAATCAGGTTTTCCTTACATTTGGTCGACATAGTAGCAGCTGAAGAGGCAGTCATATTGTCTACATGTTCCCAATCCGATGTGGACATTATTGCCGTCAATGATAAGTGTGATTTGTAGAGTGTCTTGTCTAACTGATCTAGTTCTGTGCGTATAAGTCTGATTTTTTCTGAGATAAGAGCTAAGCTAGTTTTGAAAAGAATTCGTTTCGCATTAGAAGAAGTTACAGTAGCAGAGGTGAGTGTAAATGCGATTGGTATTACCCCAGAGTCGCGGCATCTCTTCAGGAAGGTGAGAGACTCGATCAGCTGAGCTTTCTTATCCCGGAGTTTGTTGAAGGATCTTAAAGTTATGTGAAAACCCTCCCCGTAGAGGCGATTAAATTTTGATTTAAAGCTTTCGTGACTGCAGTAATTCATATTCTTAGTTTTTTCGGTAAAGTCACGTTGAAGAGAAACAACAAAATAACAAAATATATATAAAACAATAAAAAAAATTCTCACGACGTTTCGACCATAACTCAAACGGTCATCATCAGGTGTGTCGGTTTGCATAAATTTATTTTGAAAACGGCATATTTATTTATTTATATATAAAAATAACGTTTGCGTCACGCGCAACGATTGGCTGTTTGCCAGGACTAGTCCATCTATTTTTTGAAAAGAGGAGGGGGGAGACGAAATTTGTTTTTATGTATGCTGTCTGAAAGCCACTGTAAGCGTGAACAATCAATCAAGAACTGAAATGATTGATCAAATCTTTCCAATGATTGCTAAGATAGAATCCATCTTCTCGGTTGAAATTGTCTCTGTGTTTGTATATGTGGATAGCCTCATGAACGAATCTCTCATGGAAGCCAGATGGCTTACAAAGAACCTCCGTCTTGGAAAAGTCAATGGCATGTGAGCCTACTGAATTAGAACAATGATCTGCTACGGCCGAGGTGTTGGTCCTACCGTGTTTAAGGTCTGCTTTATGTTCACGAATGCGGTCCGAGATATGGCGTTTGGTTTCTCCAATGTAACTACTACCACAGAGGCAACTTAGTTTGTAGACACCAGGGTATTGTATGTCCGGAATCACATCTTTTACAGACGGAACCAGATCACGGATTTTATGTAATGTGTTGAAACGGACCTGGATCTTGTGTTTATTCAAGATTTTGGAGATCTTTTTTGTGATCCCAGCAATGTAGGGTAAAGTGATGGTTTTGAAAGGCTCCTCAAGAGGGTTCTTCTTCATGGTTTGAGTGATAGCAGTACAGGTGTGTCGGGGTCTAGTCCATGTTGGACCAAATTTTCAATTATTTCAATGGTATCAGGTACTGGGACCTTGGTGAACAAAGAGACCACATCGAAGCTGACAAGGATATCGTCAGGGGACAGTACAACGTCTGACCATAGAGACCAATTGGGCTGAGTTAAGTACTGCTGAGGTGGTCTTGCCAGTGAAAGGCAGCAAGGTATCTGACAGAAAACGGGCTAGTCTCTAGGTAGGGGAGTTGATCGTGGATACGATGGGTCGTAGTGGGGTGCCTTCTTTATGAATCTTGGGAAGACCATAGAATCTAGGGGGTCTTGCAGCAGAAGGTTTTAGGGAGGGACGTTTAGTTGGGTCGATTAGGGAGGTCGAACTTGTGATGATCTTGTTGGTTTTTATCGCTAGGCTATTGGTAGGGTCATTTTTAATTTTTGAGTAACTTCCATCGTTGAGCAGATTCTGGATTTTGTTGTAGGAATCTTTATCCATAATAACAGTAGCGTTGCCTTTATCGGCTGAGAGAATGACTATATCACTTCTGTTTTTTAAATTCGCGAGTTCAGAGCGTTCATTTTTGCTGTTACTAATGGGTTTCTTAGCATTCTTAAGAATAGTGGCTATTTCAGCTCTCGCAACGTCTGTTTGGATGTGTCCTACGCCTTTCAGGGCTACATTGACCTGAGAGATGATATCATCTACTGGTATGTTTTGGGGTGACAGCAAAATTTTGTCCCCTAGCCAGTACTCTTTTCAGATTGTCCGAAATCGCGGTGCTACTCTGATTAATGACGATTTTGTTAACATCTAGTTTTGTTATATGTGGAACTGGGTTCTTCTTTGATAGGTGGTTGAATTTAGAAATCAGGTTAGCTTTACATTTGACTGACAGTGACTCAGCAGAAGAAGCAGTCATGTTGTCTACGTGATTCCAATCAGAAGGTGACATTTTTTGTGTTAACATTAAATGAGCTTGTAGGAGAGTCCTGTCTAAAGTATCGAGTTCAAATCGGAGTAGCCTTATCCTCTCTGAGATTAAAGATAGGCTGGCCTTAAGCAGAATCTGTTTAGAATTCGGAGAAGATACAGCAGCAGAAGTGAGTGTGAAAGCGATGGGTATTACCTTGTGATCGCGGCATCTTTTGAGGAAGGTCAGCGTCTCGATGAACTGTGACTTCTTGTCCCGTTGTCTGTTAAAAGCTCTAACAGATAGGTGAAAGCCCTCCCCATAGAGGTTATCAATTCTAGATTTAAAGCTTTCGTGACTACAAGGATCCATACTAGCTAATCACTCAGCCATTTCAATGCTAAATTATATGCTAATTCCTTTGTCAAGGCGCTTTGTTTCTTCTCACACAGCTTAAAGGTCGTGATCTGAGCGTGGCCTTTTTTCACTCCAGCGCTGTCCTCCGGACAGTCTCGTCCCTTCGCCTGATGAAGGCCGCTTGTGTTGTGGCCGAAACGTCGTGATTTTTGTTATTTTATTTTTTTACCTACGTGACTTTACCCAATAGAACCAAAGAGTATGGATCCTTGCAGTCACGAAAGCTTTAAATCTAGAATCTTTGTATCTCTGTGCTGGCTAGGTCACTGGTGGCCCTGTCCCTGATCCTGGCCATGCTGCTCTTCAAGCCGGCTCCGATTTACATCCTGGACGAGGTGGACGCCGCTCTGGACCTCTCCCACACCCAGAACATCGGACACATGCTGCGCACTCACTTCCTCACCTCGCAGGTACAACAACAGCTGCCATTCGCCATTAAGTGGCGATGACATCACCATTGCGCTTGTGCCAGGCTGACGTGCACTTTAACGCCACGATAACTGTTGAATGTCTGTTGGCAGGAGATCACAGGACAGAGCCAGGTTCCATGGGTTGACTGAGATGACTGGCAGATGCACCACCTGCACGCCCCTTCCTGTGCCAATTTGCTGTGTTTTAGCCGCCCGGCGCTCCGCTTTTTGTTGTTGCTTTTCCCCTCATGGTGCTTGTAGCCACTACAGTGGCCAATGGGGGCTTTGGATGGATGCAAGGGGCTGGTAAACCCCTCCACCTTCAATCCATTTACCACTAAATTACGTGAGAAATATCTGGCTTAGCTTTTGCTGGAGGCCCCAGTGGGACAGGCATCTATGAAGACTTGCAGGTACTCACCTACTCGCACAACAACAGACGCCATTCGCCACTAAGCGGCGGTGACGTCGCCACAGCGCTTGTGTCAGGCCAGATGCACTCTGAAGCCTCGTGAAGTGTCGAAGGATCGGCAATAGGTCACGGGACAGATGCAAGTGCCATTGGTTGTGCACGGTTGCACTTTATTTTGCGTGCGGTTGCAATTTACTTTGTCCAGTCGGTGTTAGTCACTGAGGTTGTGACGAGGTTTCTCTTTTCATTCCTGTTGCCCCGGGCCCCTGGTACTGTTCCTGTTCTGATGTTATGAGCACTGATGCCTACTTCTTTGAGGGCGATATTGACACGTGAAATAAACATCGATTGAGATAACTGGCAGATGTACCAGCTCTACCCTCTACTGTGCCAAAGTACTGTATTTTAGCTGCCCAGCACTCCGCTCATTGTTGTGAGGGTTGCTCCTCTGCTCTCTGTTGTTGGAGGGCGACTACCTCCAACTGCCCAGTAGCGTTCTTCATGAGCATCCTCCACAGAGGCCGATCTTAACAGCGCTTCAGCAAGTCTACCTAGCTGCACATCCTCCCGTACCGCATCACTCCATCTCTTTTTCAGCCCGTGTCGCGCCTTTTAGCCCTCTCTATGCAGCCAAACAGAAGCAACTTTGCCATGCGGTGGCTGGGCATGCGGGCTCCATAACCCAGCCAATGCAGCCTTGACCACCGGAGCTCACCGATGGGAATGTGTCCAGATCTTTCATGGATTTGAGAGCTGCTCACATAATCCAGCCTTGTTAAACGCAGAATGGATTGTAGGCAAGCCAGTCTGAATATTTCTAACTGGTGCAGATGTTCCATTATGGAGGGTCCATGTTTCGCACTCACTCACACACCTACTCAACCACACACCTACTCATTCATTCACTTCTACACCCAGAACATCGGACACATGCTGAGTACTCACTTCCTCACATTGCAGGTACACTCACCCACCCAGCCACACAATCACCTACTCGCCCTCACTCACCCAGAACATCGGACACATGTTGCGAACTTGCTTCTTCACCTCGCAGATACGCTCACACGCACGCTTACCCGTATACCCACTCACCCGTACATTCACCCACATAATCCCTCACCCGCACTATGGCTTGACTTCTGTGCCAGGCTAGGTGTCAGTCATGAGACAGACCCCAGGTGCTATGGGTTTGACCCACTGCTATCTCTCCCCATCTCTCTCCCCCCCTCCGTCTGTCCCCCTCCCCTACATTTCTCTCTCTCTCCCCCATGTCTCTCTCTCCCTACCCCCATCTCTCTCTCCCCATTTCCCCCCTCAATGTCTCTCTTTGTCCCCGTGCAGTTCGTGGTGGTCTCTCTCAAGGATGGGATGTTCAACAACGCCAACGTGCTCTTCAAGACGCGCTTCGTAGAAGGCGTTTCAACGGTGACACGGCATACCAACGCCTCCACGACCTCTCGACCAGCAGCCCCCTCCTCATCCTCCTCTTCGAAGGGAAGGGGAGAGGGAGAGGAGAAAAAGGCAAAGAGAGGGAGACTGGGTGATGAGTAGAGGGGAGAGAGGGAGAGGAGAGGGAGTGGGGAAGAGAGAGACTACTGTCCCATCTCTCGTGTCTGTTAGAAATCCATGTGGTATATATAAATGTATCGTCATACGACATCTCTCCTAGATTTGAAGTTTTCGTGACTGCAAAGATCCAAACTCTTTGGTTCTTTCGGTAAAGTCACGTAGGTAAAAATGAAATAAAATACAAATTAAAACTAAACCTCTCCTGTCTCATGGTGTTATTCGTGAGAAATCAGCAGGGTATCTGGAAATGAATCGCTCTCATGTCCGTCGTTGTGGCTATGGCTGTGTCTAATGATGTCCGCGGCTATAATTACTGCTATAAGTGTGGTATCTGTAAATGGATCGATCACTTGACATCTACTGGTCTGTATCTCCAGTTCTGTTTCTCTAGTTATTTGAAATCCGTGTGGTATCTGTAAACGGATCGCTGTCTTTCTCTCATTACGTCGCTTGTTATTAAAAGTCAATGGGATATCCTAAAATGAATTGCTTTACATGTCTTTCTAATTAGTTATCGATAATCATACTCTTTGGTTTTTTCGGTAAAGTCACGTAGGTAAGAAAAATAAATTAAAACAAATCAAATTAAATTTTGATTTAAAGCTTTCGTGACTGCAGGGATTCATATTGGTTCTTTCGGTAAAGTCACGTAGAAGGGAAACAATAAAATAATATATAAAATATATTGTTTTATTTTAATTATTTTATTGTTTCCCTTCTACGTGACTACCGAAAGAACCAAGAATATAAATACAATTAAATTACATTTTTTTTATTTTATGTTTTCATTTTTTTACCTACAATCATGAAAACTTCAAATCTATCGATAATCAGTTTTGCCACTTAACAATAGAATAAATGTGATGTATAAATTATCACAAAATGTGTATTAGGTATCTTAAATGTCAATGTAAATCTATCCCTCTACATCTTTACTTACGTCTCTGCTTGTACAGTAGACCCTTGAATATCACGGGGTTACATTCTTGGAAAATGCCGCAACAGCCAAAATATTCAGCCTTAACCTAAATAATGGTGTTAGGCACACAGCAACCAAAAATAGACTCATCGCAATTGAAATAATTTCTGTACTGTATGCCAAATAAACAAAAAACTGAATTGAAATAAACATGTAAAAACCCTAGACTAAAAACATTTCTAAACAATACTAAGAAATACTGTACTTCCCAATTATCTAAGGCGGGTGTTTTTTTTCCCTGGACTGGGGAGCGATAGTGTAACGGTACGAACCTGGTGACGCGAGTTTGATTCCCGCTCACACCAAACACCCATGACGATGATCTGAATCGGCCCTGGGCATCCTCTAGGTCGACTCAGCCTTAAATGAGTACCTGGTGCGATGTGTGTCGCCAATGGGGAGACAAAGGCGACCGGGCGTGGTGCTGGCAGTTCTGGCCTTCATAGATGCTCACGAACAGCACTTGCCCCAACTGTTAATAGGCTACACGGGGGGTCTGCCAGATGCGAGTACAGCAAAGCTTGAGGTGCCACTGACTGCATCATCCACCTGACATCACGCAACCAGACAATGATACAGTACTTCCGTATACAGTATACCCGTCAAAGGCCAAAACTAACCCCGGCGACAGCTACATTGGTATTTACAGCTTGCCTGTGTTAGGTCAAAACCACAAATGATAAACCGCGATATTCAAGGCAGGGTATCTCTAAACGGATCATTATACACCTGAATGTCCCATCTTCCCATGGGATTGTTGGCATACCAGCGGTATCATGATCAGCCTTTTTGGAGGAGGCTCGTGAAGGACGCTACTGGGCAGAGGAGTGATGCTCAAAACAACGACTGGAGTGCCAGGAGGCTAAAATGCAGCAAGTTGACACAGTAGGGGACAGCTGGTGCCATTTGCCAGTCACCAGTCAACCCATGGCACCTGGGTCTGTCCCATGACCTGTTGGTGAGCCTACAGCACTTCGTGGCCTTAGTGTACTTGGCCTGGCACAGGTGCTGTCACTGCCACTTAGTAGCAAATGGCAACTATTGTTGGTTGAGTTGTGGTGAGGGATGTAGTAGACGTAGTTGTCTGCACACTGCAATAATAAACTGCTTTTCCAAACGTCTCCCCTTCGAGTCACTTGCTACAATAACCCATTGGGGGGAGGGGGGTGTTATGGGGTTGAGCTTACCAGGAGCTGCTCAAGGCAGGGAGTGTGGAACAGAAAGGGGGCAAATGGGTTGGTGGGTGTGAGTGCATGGGTGCATTGGTTCAAGCAGCTAGGTGCTGCTGCTGATACTGAAGCTGGTGCAGAGTTTGCTTGTCTTAAACCAATGCTGGTAATTGGATCCACACTACCAGAAGGCATTGGGCGCAGCTGACAGAATGACTCAAAATATAATTTTATTATTTTATGTCAAACATGGGAAGGATACTGTTTGCTATTCATCCTGTACACAAGTCAGTGTAAGGTCACCAGAGTTTACCCAGATGCTTGAGTTGGTGACTGCTGAGTGGGTCTAGCCTCAGGCCATCCCCAGTGGCGGCTGTGCGTATCTGGACTTGACCCACACACATCTGCCACTGAGGGTGCCCCTGCACTCGACCCACACACGGATAGTTACCACTGGGGGTGCCCCTGGACTAGACCCACACACGGACAGCTGCCACTGGGGGTGCCACTAGGCTACACATACAGTGCAAAATAAGTTCAACATACACAGCAGGCGCAATCATCCACCACCCCCACCCTCTTGTCTGATGAAGTTGAGGTCTTCGTAGTCTGCGAAGAGGTGAGTCTCTGACGTGGTCTCTTTTTGACGAGGCAAGCCCCTCTGACGAGGTGAGTCCTCGCTTTATCTCATACCACCCTACCCAGGTACGTTGTTTTAGCGGCCCACCTCCACCCACCACTTTGCTGCTGCTGTATCTGTGGCCACTGAACAACGAGGTGGTCGACGAGGCAGCGCGAGAGTCGCGCGGAGAGGGAGAGTGAGTGCACCCGGCACACGCTCTCCAGGAAGACCAAGCGGGGGCGCCAGCGTGTGGCACTACTACCACCATCACCGTCGCCACCAGGAGGAGGAGGTCCGTAGAGAAGATGGAGTGGAAGGCGGATGAGGCTGGAGATCCAGGCTGCAAGCAGAATGGGTAGACAGGTGCCTGGACCATTGCACAGAACCTGGGGGGTGGGTGGTTGAGAGGGTGGGCAAGTTGAGTGGGCGGGCGGGCGGGCAAACGAGTGGGCAGGTGGGTGGGTGGTGAGGATGCCTCACCAGCTGAGGGGGTTGTGACACGGTGAGCAGAATCCACATCGCTTGCACCGTGGCTACCGCCGCCTTGAGTAGTGAGCGGCCCAGCGGCTCTGCCACCTCACGGCAGCGCAGCACCTCCTCTACCCGCACCTAGTGACACACCAATCATCCAATGTCATTGATGCAATCTCATAGAATCCATGCAATCTCATATACTCCATGCAATACTATGCAATCCCATGTAATGCAATCCATGCAATCTCATGAAATCTCATAAAATAAATGCAATCCATACGATACCATACAATATACAATGTGTACAGTAATCCCATGCTATCCATGCAATACAATGCAATCCATTAAATGTAATCCATGCAATACAATGCAATTCCATGGAATGGAATCCATGCAATCTAAGTAATCCCATGGAATCCATACAATACCATGCAATTTCATATAATCCAATGCATACAATTCATGCAATACCTTGCAATCCTTGCAATCTCATAAAATGTAGGCAATCCAATGCAAAACAATCCATGCAATTTCATACAATCCATGCAATCCCATACAATCTATGCAATCCATACAATACCTCCCCCACCATGTCTCACCTCCCCCCCCCGAGCCCCCCAAGTCTCTTCGTGGGCCAAAATCTTGGCGCGACTCAGGGGGTCGGAGCCCCCCAGGAGATAGAGACGCGGGGAGTAGCGGGGCGCGGGGAGCGCAGAGAGGGCGCGAAGCATCTCCGTCGTGTGGCCCCCTGGGGGGGCGCACTCGGTGGGGGGGGGGCACGGGGGGGGGTGAGACGAGTGGAGGGTATGGGGAGACGTGGGGAGGGAGACGCGGGGGGGGGACGCGGGGGGGGGGGGACGCGGGGGGGGACGCGGGGGGGGGACGCGGGGGGGGGACGCGGGGGGGGGGCGATGGGGGGGTGGAGGGACGGGGGGAGGGGGTGGAAGGTGGAGGGACGGGGGGAGGGGGGTTAGAAGATAAACGGGGAGAGGGATACACGGCTGATGTTGATGATGTTGTGGTGATGTTATGTTCATGTCAGTGATGATGTTCATCGATGTCGTTGCGATGTCGTTACGTCCACGCTAGCGAGTTCCACCCCCGGTTATACTGTACGTGCAGTGTGATGTACGTCACGCACAGTGCGCGATGTGTACAGTGCGAGTATGTGTACAGTTAGTCTGCATTTCGGGTAAGTGTACAGTACGAGGTGTATAGAGTACGAGTAGGTGTACAGTGCGAGGTGTGCAGTACGAGTAGATGTACAGTACGAGTAGGTGTATAGAGTACGAGTTGGTTACAGTACGAGATGTACAGTACGAGTAGGTGTACATTGTGGCTCGCCTCACCGGACCCCGCCACCACCAGGAGGCTCACGGGGAGTCGAGCAGCAGGAGACGTCTCCCTCCTCCTCCTCGAGACGAGGAGGAAGAGGAGAACGAGGAGGGGGAGGGAGACGAGGAGGAGATTCGAACAACTCGCCTCCTCCATGGTGGCCCGGGAGACCACGTGGGGCGCAAGAGGGGCAGGGTCACGTGATGCGCTCTCGATCGCATTACATTGTATATTGCATGGGATTGTATGGATAGCATTGTATTGTAAGGATTGCATTGTATTTATTGCATTGTATCGATAGCATTTTATTGTATTTATTGCATTGTATGTATAGCACTGTATTGTACGGATTGTATTTATTGCATTGTAGGTATAGCACTGTATTGTACGGATTGCATTGTATTTATTCCAGCGTATGGATAGCATTTTATTGTGTGGATTGCATTGTATTGTATGTATTGCATTGGATTGTATAGATTACATTGTATTGATTACATTGTATTGCATTGTATGATATTGCATGGGATGTTATGGCTCGCATTGTATAAAATGCGTTGTATTGTATGGTTTGCATTGAATTGTGATATTGCATGGAATTGTATGGATTGGATTGCATTGTATATTGTATAGGATTGTATAATGTATGGGATTGTGTGGATTGCATTGCATTGTGTGATATTTCATGGGATTATATGGATTACATTGGATTGTATGAGATTTCATTGTATTGTATAGATCACATGGGATTGTATAAGATCGCATGGGATTATATAGTTCATTTATTTGGTATAGCCCTGTGAGCCATTCGGCTCTTGAATCGGGTGCAACCGCAACAACAAAAAACATGAACAAGAAAACATCTTAAAGTGATTTTGTGACTGTGCAAACAGAAAATACAGGAAAAAAATATCAAAATATTACTGAAATAGCACCGTACACCAACGCTGTGTGCAAAAATCCCAGTGGGATGCAAGTCAAACAACAACAACCACAAGACAACTAAGATTAAGGCCATCAGTCTAACTCCGTGCTACAATAAACAAAAAACATGGCCAAAACAAAAAAAACTTTTCGAAATCACCAAAATAAAAGCCATAAATGCAATGTAACAGTGATCATAGGGAGTGTGGCCGAATTTTTAACAATAAACTACATAAATAAATTATAACACCAAAATCTAGGGACACAATTTAGGCCACTGAATAGCAGTGGCAGCTAGGGTTGTACAACTCCTCTAGAGCAGTTTTGAGTGAAGATCTCATAGGTAGTGATTTAAGTTGCAGTTTATTGGCAATAGCATTCCAGACCCTGGATGCATCAATAGCAAAAGCTCTTCCTCCAGTTTTTGTACGGCAATAGGGAATGTGAAGCTGGTAAATGAGCGAAGACCTGAGGTCAAATTTGTTCTTTGAAACAGAGAGGAGATCCAGTAGGTAGTCTGCGGAATTTTTTGTAAGTACATCGTGAATAAATAAGATCTGGTGCACAAGCCGTCGAACATTAAAAGATGTTAAGTTTGACGCAATGTAGAGATCACAGTGGTGAGTCCTATATGGGCAGTTCAATGCAAATCTTAAGGCCGAGTGATAGATGGAATCAAGCTTCTTCAGTACAGTACTTGGGGCTGGTTTATACACGATGTCACAGTAGCCAAGTAGAGGCAGTATGGTAGCTTTTATCAATTCCAAACGGAACATTGGGGGGAAGCAGTGCTTGTGTCGATACAGAAAACCAATTTTTATTTTTGTCTTTTTACCAATATAATCAATGTGATCTTCAAAACTAAGTTTTGAATCCAGGATGACCCCAAGATACTTATAGATCTTGACTTGCTCTATTTGATAATTATTCAAGGAATGTAATTGGGGAAAAATAACTTCCTGCTTTAGTCCCGGAGAGAAGCATAGCACCTTGGTTTTGGAGGTATTCAGGACTAGTTTAAGAGAAACTAGCTGATGTTGTAGTTTGTTGAAATCACCCTGGAGCTTAGCAATCACGTCATCCGGAGAGCGGCCAGCAGTAATCAGTATCGTGTCATCTGCAAAAAGATTTACCCTGGAATGATCCAGTTCAGTGCCCAAGTCATTGACATAAAGAGAGAATAAGAGGGGGCCGAGGATGGAACCCTGTGGAACCCCTTTTGTTATCTTAACACTGTTTGACCTCCAACCATCTGTGAATACAGTTTGGGTGCGAGAAAAGAGGTAATTTTTTAACCATTGTACTGTGTTCTTGGAAAAACCGAGGCAACTTAGTTTACTAAGCAGGGTGTTGTGGTCAACTGTATCAAAAGCTTTGGACAGGTCAAGAAAAAGACAGGCACAGTACTGCTTATTATCAAGGCTATTGTAAATTTGATTCAAAGAGTCTAATGCAGCAGATGTGGTGCTGTATTTTTTCCGGAACCCAGATTGTTTTAGATGTAGTAGATTGTTGGACAGGAAACTGCTAATTTGGTAGTTAAATAATTTTTCAAAAATTTTCATCAATGGGGACAAAATTGAGATAGGTCGGTAGTTATTGGGATCATCTTTAGGGCCCCCTTTGTGAAGTGGACGGACATAGGAATGTTTCCATTCTAGAGGAACCGATGCTTCTTTGATGGACAGGTTGAAAATATGGGCTATAGGTTTGTATATTAGGTGACCAGCAGTTAGTAGAGCAAAGACGGGAAAACTATCTGCTCCGGTAGAGGAGGACCCTTTGAGGTAGGACAGTTGTTTCAGAACATTACTTTCGTGGATTGGTTGGAAACTAAATTCGTTTAATGTTTGGACAGGGGTGTACGAATTTGCAGGAGCAGGGGTGACTCCCAATACATTATCAAAAAGATTACCAGCTTCAGAAAAATGAAAGTTAAAATTGTCAACTATTTTTTTGGGATCTGAAAAATATTCCCCATTTCGGTGAAGCTCAATGGGCAGATTTTCTGTTTTGGATGCCTTTTCGATAGATTTGATTTTTTTCCAAAAAATCCTGGCATTTCCATGAATTGCATTGTATGATAATGTATTGCATTGTATTGTATGGATTACATTGCATGTGTAGGACTCTGGGTACCGACATCAGATATGATGACCTTTATTTTAGCACACCGACTGACAAGCCTCCAGCCACCATTCCTCCCAGCCACCATTCCTCCCAGCCGTCTCTCTCTCCCCCTTCTCGACCCTCTCCTTTTATCCCTGTCCCCCTCCTTCTCGACCCCTCTCTTCCTCCACCAATCCCATCTCTCTGCCTCCCAACCGACTCCCCACTGTGTCCTCCCCTATTCCACTTTCCCACTCTTGATTTTGAACCAAGCTAATCAAGCCTAGATCAATCAGTATTTCCTCTGGCACCTCCCCTGGCTGGGCGCGCTCTCTGATGTTGAAAGACTCCTATCCCTCTTTCCCTGATCCCGAGAGGTAATCCTGTCCAAGGATAATATCCTTACATCATCCTCCCCCGGGGAAAGAAAACGTGAAGCCGTCCTGGGCTCAGCATAACTACGAACAAACCCTTTGATGGCTAAGGGATTTCTATTTGTAACAACTACTGTAATGCAGGACAGTAATAACGTAATTTATGAACGAACACATCTCATGTCTATTCTAAGTGTAGTGCGTGACTCACGAGACACACAGAGGTCTGGAGGCATCACGATGTATTCACAATGAACAGGGCTACGGGTAAACAACACTCGGGGTTATTCTAGATACCACTGGGTCCCTATGTAACTCAACTCCCCGACGACCGACGATTCCAGAACCTCCAAAGCAACGTCGCACTGCGAGTTCTCTTGCCCAGACAACCACGATCGCTCCTCCCCTGTCCCTCTTATTCTCTCGAGCGTGGCCTCGCGCCGCCTCCGGGCACGCCCTCTCCTCGTTCTCCCCCTTCACTACTCCGTGTCGGTACGTCCCGACCTCTCTCCCACTGCGACGGGCCCCTGCTCTCTAGGGCCTGTTTCTCCGACATGTCTCTGCCGGCACCAGAGAGAGAGGTACGTACGTACTCATTTTCAAGTTGTGGGTGTTGCCGGCTTAAAAGCCATAGAGACGCGATTTACGTCTCTACATAAGTATTAAAAATCATAATGTATTTTGCGGATTGAATGGATGCACTCAGGTAACAGGTATTGTATACCCAAAAAACCTTTATTATGAAGGTGTCTAACTTTACTACAAATAGGGGGCACCTGGCGGCGGCGAGGTGCATCAACAGAGTGACGTGTAGAAGATGGTTTGGATTGAGTGCGGTGTGAATGTTCTGTGTTTGATGAGGTGCGTGTGTAATGAGACGTGGGCATTCCGTGTTTTGTGTGTATATAGCAGGCGTGATGTAAGCCCATTGTCTCATGGTTTCTGGAAACTGGTGTATTTTATTTTTTTCCTTCAACCACGACGACCCCTGTGTGCAGCATATGTGAATTTGCCCTGTCATAAACAATCACCCGCACGGTAAATCTGTTTTGTGAGTTTTTGGTTGTCCCTGATGTGCCGGGCACGTGCACGGGTAATCAGCCCTTCCTAATGACTTTGCCGCTGCAGTTCTTAGAGTTCAGGCGCTATCGTCGTTCCTGGAGAAACATCTGGTGAGGTAGTGACGAGCGCAGACAGATCGGAGCCCGGTGGGACGTTGCTGCCCCCTGGCGGTTGTGGTGAGTTTTGTGTGCATGGCAGGTTTGTTGACTCGGAGAGCCAGGGCTTCAGCCGATGGGGTGAACCACTTATTGTGTCCCAATTGTATCTGCACACATTGTGGTCGCAGGATTTTTACTACCCTGACGGGACGGTCTGTGAACTTTGGGGGATGTACCATGTGCCCCACCGCACTTGTGGACAGTGGAGCCACGCGGAACCTCCCTCTGGAATTTTCATGTCAGTGACCTTGGAATGAAGACGCCTGTTAGCCTGTTGTGTTTTCTCCGAGGTGGCCAGCGCAGCTTCCTTTGCCTCCCGCCAATAGTTTATCGAGTGTTTCAGTGACACTGGCCAGGTTTCACTTCTAGTAGGGATGTCAAGTAATTGGTGTTCAATGGCTGGGTATGGGTGTCATCTGTACATTAAGAAAAAGGGAGAGTGTCCCGTCGCAGCATGTGGTTCCAAGCGGTATGTCGACAGGACGGCAGGGACCGCCAAACCAACGACCCCCCCTTCGCCCACCGACAACCAGGTGTTCGCCTCCTTCGTGCGCTGCCAGCGCGG